TCATTGGACTGCCTGTTGGAAAAGTTGTCTTGATGTTGGTTCTCTACCAGGAAAAATATAGGTTATTTATCCACCTGTTCATGGAGCAAAAGAACTTGCCTATTTACTTATTTTGTTTTAATTCCATTCTGCTCGGTTTCTTTGCTGCATTCAGGGCAGATAGGATGGCACTGCAGGTCACCTGGCCTCTGTTTAACAATGCCTCCCCAAATACAGAGATCCGCAGCTCTTTGTTTCTAATGGAGATTGCTTGCTATACCCAAGTCCTTAGAACTGTGAGAATCATACAGAAATAGCTTTCTGCTTTGGTCGCCTTGCTCTCTCTGACTTTCTGGCAGGATTCAGTGATGGCTTTCATTTTCCAAATGCTGTGAATAGTTTGGAGACTCTCAAAGCTGTATTTACAGTAAATGTGATGTTGCAGTAATGATGGGTCAATTCAGCTTTATAAAAAAAGCCACCACCTCTCACTAAAAAATAATGTTAAACTGACTTCAAACAGAATCTTAATAGTTCCATATTGCTCTGTGTATAATTAAAAGCTTTCACCCTTGAAAACAGTGTTCTTTTTATTTGCTAATTGTAATTCCTTGCTACAGTCAAATAGACTGAGGTAAATTTTTATGATATTAAGAATTGACCTCATGCTGTAAAGAGAAAATCCATTTTTCACAGAGCAAAAATTTTCCTCTTAATGCTTTTCTTCATTTTTAGCAGACTCTGAAATCATGATAGTGCCACTGAAAGACAGGATCCCAAATTTAGCACTGCAGGCACTATCTTCAGGTATGCATCAATTCTGCTGTGTAGCTTCAGTTTAAAAGGAATGCGTGACCCAGAGCATTTTGATCATGGAGAAGGAAAGTTTTTTTTTGGCTGTTGCTGCAGTTGTTGCTTGTTTTATTAGGGGGTGGCTTGTACAAATTAAAAATTGGGGGATTTTTATGCAGTTGATAATAAGTTCTCCTCTTTAGTGGTTGCACAGAACTGTGCTCTAGTACCATAAGAAGCTCTCCTGTAGTTGGAATATTCACTTTGTCATGGAACTGCCTTTTGTGTTGTTCAGAGTGGGTTGTCTGGGGAGGTTTGGGAGAGGGATGGAGGATGTGACTAGGATTGAAGTGTTTTGCTAATCCTTTGGGCAGACCCAGTCTTTAGGGTTCAGAACTCACAGTCAAATTAGCAAATCTTTGCTCTGTCACTCACAAAAGTGATTACATAGAACCAGTCAAGTAATGAAGATTTTTTTAAACTATAATTTTACTTTCAGTGTTAAAAAGGAAGTGTAATAATTGTGCTTGAATGTGATGGAAATATTGCTGGACATTTACTACTGCAGTTGCCTAAAAACTGTTGAAGTCAAGTTTTTTTGTCTTTTTTTTTTTCCCCAAAAAGCTTCCTCCATAGAGCCAGTCTTGCAAGGCAATGGGTGCCTAATGGGTCTGACACAAACATGGGCAGGTTTAGCTTGTCTGTGTGTGGAAGATGAATTACAAACCAGTCCAAGTGCTGCTGCAAGTTCTTCCCGTGTAGTAGCCACATTCAATGATGAACATGTTCTCCAGAGAAGATGTGAGGGTTGTTATTTTTTACATATCTGCCAGAACTGAAATGTGAGGTTAAATAAAGTTGGACCTTGGTGGATGGAAAGGCTGTGTACTCTTCAGAACTGTACTCTCTGGAGACCTCATCTAGAGCTCCATGTACGAGTATTCCTGCTTGTACATCTGTTGCAGATTCCTACTGAAATACTTTTCAAAATTCCCATTTAGCTGTGTGTCTAATCTGGCCAAATCACCTTAGAAATTGGTGACCTTACTGATGCTGTTCCTGCAATGGCCAGACCTTAGAATTTCAGGGAGGAAAATTCCCCATCCAAAATATGGTATGTCATCACAAGGTAAAAACAGTTATGAAGTAATGATAAAAAAAAATAAATCTGTGTTCCATGGAGAAGAAGCCTGGAGAAGAGGAGGCTCAGGGGATGACCTTATCACTCTCTACAACTACCTGAAAAGAGGTTGTATTCTTCTCCCAGACAACCAGTGACAGGACAAGAGCACACAGTGTTAAGCTGCACCAGGAGAGGTTCAGGTTGGACAGTAGGAACAATTTCTTCACAGAAAGGCTGATTAGACCTTAGATCGGGCTGTCCAGGGAGGCAGAGTCACAGTCCCTGGAAGTGTTTAAGACAAGACTGGATATGGCAATTAGTGCTATGGTCTATTTGACATGGTGATGTCTGGTCACAGGCTACACTTGGCCTTTTCCAATCCAGTTGATTGTGTAATTTTGTGATTCTGTGTGATAGCCTAAAATAAGACTTGTCCTTTATTAATAGTACTCATGGTTTGTGTAACAGTATTACATGCAGTTCAGTCATTCATTTAAAAACCCCAAAACATTTGCCTGGTTTCAAAACTAGGAAATAAAGCGTCTCTATTGCTTAGACCCCACTTTGGAGATGGAAATAAATGATACTACTCCAGCTAACTTGTGGGTTTTGGGCTCCCCATGCTGGGTGGGGCAGCACATCAGGGTTCCTTCTGCTCTGTCAGAAGCTGCTGTCCCTTTTCAGCAGTCACTGCTCAGCTGCAGGGAGAGCTGAAGTTCTGTGAGGTAAGGTGGATTACCTTTGTGTGTAGGAGGCCCTGGCCCGCTGCTCTGGCTGCACAGAGCCCCGGTGTCCATTCTGCTGGGACTGTGCAAGGAGAGGACGCCGTGCCATGGCCTGGGGCTTCGGCAGCACTCAAGGAACAATCCTGTTTCTCTGGTGGAAGGGATAGTCTTAGCCATGAGGATGGGGAGTGCTCCTCTTTGAATGACCACACAGTGCTGAGCAGTGGTTCCCTGCTGGCCAGGCTTCCTCTTGCCCTTGGAGTAGCATCCCTACCTCCTCTTTCCAGCTCTTGGGCCCAATGGTTCTTCCAGCCTCCACGCAGCAGCTCTGGCTGCATGACCCTGAAGTAATCAGCCCAGCAGCAAACATAAGTAACAAGATGATAAGTTATTTTGGTTTTTATTTATTTTGGTTTGGCTTCTTCGCAACTCTGATGCTGGTGTGTCTTGGTGATTGGGAACTACTGGTCTGGGGGCTTTTTAATGCTCAAATAATCTGAAAAGTATTGTCTGCTTAGATGTTTTATGTCCTTTTTTCCAACTGCTGGCAGGCAGTCTGAATTGTGTGTCCAGATTGTCTGCTAGTTCATAGTTTGATTTTATTTTTAATGTCTCAGTAACATCCATACCCCTAAGGGAAAATTTAAATTATAAAAATTAATTCCTGTCAGATTATTTGTTTGAATTTCAAGTTGTTTTGCTGTTCCAGGAATGTTGCAGTGTCAATGCCAGGATCATGAAGCCAGGTTGAGCCAAATTGGCTTGCATACACTTGTAATTTTGGATTTGGAGAAAAATTTGTCAGTTTAACATGGTTAATACATTCATGCTGTGAGGTTTGTGATAATAAGTTCTTTAGACATCGAGACATACAATTACCCTAAGTGCAGATAAACAAAATCTTTTCTGCATGTGTTGCATGTGGAAGGATATGCAAATTTGCAATTCTCCATGAGCAGTGGTCTAGCCTGAGTTGAGGCTGCCATTCAGGACTCAGAGGAACAGCCTTCTGTGGTGTGAGGAGCTTTTAACGGCAGATTACTGAAGTTCAGGGTTAATTTTACCAAAAAAAGGAGATGACAGACTGGCACAGATGTGGTTGGAAGATTGTTGGTATATTTTGAAGGAAATCAGTCAGGTTCCACTATAGTATTCTGGTATAAAATTATCCCTGCTTAGATTGACTTGGTCTAAGATGCTGTCAAATACTTCAGCATTGGTATGACTGACATGAGTGACTCAGTCCACCAATTCATGTTTTTAGGTTTTGACTTTAGCTCTGCAGAAACAGTGCACAGTAACTTAACCCAGAAGATGGAATGAAGAACACTTTTGTATATAAAAAGAAATGCTGATTAAGGGCAAAGAGGCATGGAACTGCTCTAGTAGGCAACGCAGAATACTAAATTAGTGAATCTGTGTTATGTTGAAGAACAATGAACGATGAAGAACGATGAAGAATGTTACCTTTAGTTTTATCCTCAGTAGCCTGAATTTTTTTACTGTTTTTTTTTTCTCCTGGAAACCTTAGCTCTTCAGTATCAAGATGGGATAGGCTTTGTGAGATGGGCGTTTCAAACAACTTTACCAAGTTTAAAACAACTTTACCAACTAATTTCCTTTACTTGGCAATTGGTGTTTCTTAGAACGATTGTTCTAAGTAGCCAGCAGGTTTCTGCTTTTGGGGGAAAATTTGCTATAGTGAACTTAAAAATAACCTCATCACCCCATGCAATTTTATTATTAAATTTTAAATTTAAAAATTGATCAAAGTAAGATGAAGTTACCATGTCTGGCTACTGCGAGGCTGCTGTCATAGTGTTGTGGACTACAGGCATACCACTTTTGCTAGAGTGTTAATCCCTTCTGTTGATGTTCTCCTTGTGTCCCAGCTGAGGGAGTTGCTGGCTTTCCAGTTAAGGCAGTAGTTGAACCAGTTGGGTGATCACTTTCCCCCTTGCCAGATGTTTGGGCCAGTTGAGCCATTAATATCCATGGGAAGTAGCCTTAGGAGAATGGGATATGTGCAGCCTGTGGCTGTGAGCCCTCCCCCGTTCAAGGGAGACTGGCATGGAAAGAAGACTCGGCTTCTGTCTGAGGAGGAAAGGTGAGCTTCCAGTTCTTTTGCAGCTGGTCCAAGGTTTGAGTTTGCACAAGACTGAAGTGCCTGTGGGACAACACTTTCTCATTGACCTTTTGATAGTGGCTTGCTCTGAGATGTTTTAAGTGAGCAGTGCTAATGAGACTGTTAATTACACCTATCCCAATGCTGTGTTACTTCCTTCCTCTCTTCACTGGCATTCAGCCTTCCCAGAGCATAAGCAGGGTGGTTGATGGCTGAGGGAGGATGTAGCTCAGTAATGTCAGATAATTTGTTCTCATGGACTGTGCACACCACAGAGAACAAGACCCTAATGTTGTAATCCTGCCCCTGTCACTGTTGATGTGCTTTATGGATCTGTTTCTTTCTTCCCATAATTTTTAGTAGTCAGTGAAGTCCACGGGGGCTGGTAAGGGGCTCGGCAGTGTAAAGCACCCTGAATGTGCTTGTACAACATGGGCTGTAGAGTTTCCTCATATCCAGCTGAACACTGGTTTTTCAGGGCTGTTTCATCCTAGGATGAAAATAACAGAATCTACAACATCCTGGACTTTTCCTGTGGGAAAGTGTTTTCTCTTGCAGCAACTGTCCAATCCTGGCAGTCATGGCTGGGCACCTGGTGGCAGCAGGACCCTGGAAGCAATTTGCAGAGATTCGCCATTTCCATTTTATGGTTCAGTTAAGAAGAAGCCTAAGGCTCATTTCTCTGAAAACTCTGGGTCAGTTTCTGTGTGAGTCCATCTCTGCCAGTAGCAAAGCCAAGTAATGCAGTCTACCAGATACATTATTTGGAGACTGATGCCAGATTCCCAAACTGGAGAATGCCAGCTTACAATTCAAGTGGTGCTGACATTTGTGGGAAGGCTTTCTGTTCTAAGCTGTCAGATGTTAGCCAGTGTATGTAATTAACTTGGTATAATTCTGCTTCAGAATGAAATATACATTCAAAAGAGACTTAAAAAAAAACATCCTGATGTATTTAGTGTCTGGGTAGTAAGTGATGCTGCACAGAGCAAGACATACATTTATTGTTAGAGAGATTGGTTTCATGGCAACTCCTCTTTGTTACTGTGGTACACAGAAGGTCCCAAAGGCTTTTACTGTCCATCACTTCTTGGGTCTTGTGGGTAATCAGATACAAAACCTGCAGACTACATTAACAGTGGAAACAGAAAATAATACCAAAACGCAGTCTGAAATGCTCTGGTTGGCTAATTATCCCAAAGGACAAATGTAAAACTCTATTTTGCATAGTAGTTTTTCTAGAGTTTGGTAATAAATCTTGTGAGCAGAGCAAGAGAGGGAATGGAAGGAGTAAAAAATTTGTTTTGCCCCAGTGGAAATTCAGGAGTTAGGGAAGTGACACCACCACACCAGAAACCCATGGCTTGTTGGTGGTGTATATCAAAAGCTCCTCCCTGAGTCAGGAAGTGTTGAAGATTTCCTGAGAAGAAAATTAAGGAAGTTTAGAAATTACACAGACCATTTGATTAAAAGATGGGAACAGGGTGTTGTATGTAGTTGTGGCATCCAATTCCTGTTTGCCTCTCCATCGTTAAGTTCATTGACCACTTCTGGTCTCTAAATCTGTTACATATTTTGATCCTAATGCTGTACCATGCAGAAGGAAATGATTCTTTTTAAGACTTGAATTTTATAGTTTCCTCCTTTGAAAAATATCTTAGGCACCAAAAGTTCTCCTTTTGTTCTCTATCAAAACCAAAATTAAGGGTTTGCCTCAGACTTCAAGCTGAATTTGCTAAGTTTATGGTCAGAAAACAACTTCCTGAAAGATGTATAGGCAGGGGATATAGAATTGATTAATCCAGCTGAACACTACGATCTTTTCATGCTTGAGCTTTTTTTTTTTTTTTTTTTTTTTTTTTTTTGGGTTGGATTTGGAGTTTTTTATGGTTGTTTTGGTTTTATTTATTTATTTAGAGTGCATCCAGGATGGACCATATAAAGCCAGAAGTATTGATTCTGTGCCTTGTTGCTGGTTTTCTAGTACCACAGGCTTACTGTGATAGTCTGGTCACTTCTATCAGTCCAGGTTTAGCAGAGTTATTCCACATTGTATCTTAAATGATGCAAAGGAATTGCCTGGATGAGATTCACAGCAGGCAGGTTGTTACCTGTGAGAAACGATGAAAAGTCCTTTGTAGCTGCACATAACCTCTAGGTGAGGATTCTTGTTTTGTGAGTGTTTTTAGTTCTGTTTTGCTTTTGTGATCAGGCTGACAAATGAGATTGAGTGGTAACACCAAAAGAAAGCATCTCACTCTCAGCAAAACCTCTTCTTGGATTTCAAAAAAGTAGTCATAAGACAGCTTTTAGCATCAACCAGAGATGACACATCAAGAGGAAGTCATGTCTGGGGTGAACTGAGCTTTGCACCTTTGCTTGCTGATATATGCTCCTCACTTACAGCATCACATTAAAGTCATCTTTACATTTCGATATTAAGAAGAGGGAAAGAAAAGAGGAAGTTGGCAGTAGCCCATTAATTTCTACATATGTTTTATTTGAGTATATTATAGTGATGGAAAAACTTGAGTTCATAATTTATTTCAATTTAACTCAGTATTTGATACCAGTAATTATTGCTGTATGGCAGCAGAACCAGAAGTATTAAATTAAGCATCTCTTTCTCCCCATTTATTCCTATTGGAGTACCCTTTATGCCAGTAAATACCTGTTGTGGATGATAAATGCTTCTGTCAGGGTGTGTCAGCTTGCCCTTGTTCTGCAGGTTTGTGGGAGCCACAGCCCCTGAGCAGGGACCCTCCTCCCTGCCTTCTCCATGGACAGCTGTGTTCATGTGAGACTAATTCAGATTACTTTCATTAAGTCTTTAGCTGTGTTATCTTATTTGTCTTGGAGGACAAAATGTATGGTGCTGGGCTTTGTTTCTGGCTTAACAGAGTACGATAAAAGTTCAGGGTTCTTGGACTGATACACACTATGATGAACTGCTCTGGTTTTTATGGGGAAGATGTTGTGTGGATGAGCTGAACTCCATGATTCTGTTTCCTTGAAAGAAGCTGCATTGGTGTCCATTGGATGAAAGATTTACCTGCAAATGTTTTTAATGACTGGAATATATGTAGATCTTGCTCAAAATAATTGTTTTCTTTCTTTTGCAGTTTCTTGCACAGCCAACCACTCAGTAGAAAAAGAATTCTTCAGCGTCTTGTTTCAAAAGACCTTGGACAATCTTCTGCTGTTACACTCCCTTTGGTCCCACATTTGAGCAAAAAAAAGATCAAAGAGGAGGATGAGGCAGCTTAGAGGAAAACCCAAAAAAGAGACCTCCAAAGATAAAAAGGAGAGAAAACAGGCAATGCAAGAGGCCCGGCAACAGATCACCACCGTGGTGCTTCCCACACTGGCTGTCGTAGTACTGCTGATTGTTGTGTTTGTTTATGTAGCGACTCGTCCCAATACAACTGAATGATGCAGCTTTTCAGACTCTCTAGCTTTGGGATATTAATTTTACCAAGAGCCAAAAGGAACTCTCTGCCACTCTTTTAGTACTTTGCAAAGGATCTTGCTGGTATTTTCAGTCTTTCTCTTGGCTACAGTCCCACAGATTCTCTTTAGGAATGTAACATAAAACGTATTAGTGAATGTGCCAGTACGTTTTATGGTCCAGTTATGTGCCTTTCAGACTTTTAAAAATGGTGTTTTTCGTAAAGCTGTTTGAAGCTCTATATTGTAAAAGGAAATCGTGTTCTGCTATAAATTTGTAAAAAATCAGCTTTCAGCTTTTATCACTGTTACAGATAATGTTGCTCCCATGAGCTCTTGTATGTCTATTTCAGAACTTCCAAAGAAGTACATTTCTTTGTACATAATGTCATATGAAGTGCTTTGATTCAGAAAGGATATATTTATTTTTTGAATAAAAGAAGTCTTACTAGGAATCTTCAAATTATTTTGCAAAAAAAAAAAAAAAAAAAAAGGTGACATTGTGAAAGCCTACATTGTGTAATAATTTTTTCATCAACCACTATATAGTTCACTCAAAAAGAATTTCTTTTTGGTGTGAGATGCCAACATGCAAAGTGAATACTTCAGGATCTGCTGTATGGAATCGTACAGAATTTGGACATGGAGATTTGGCCAGGTTATGATGAAGTAACTAATAACAAACTACATAAACACAGATAGTTGCTTATCTGAATGTTCAATATTTGAAACTGTGTAAGTGGCAATAAAAAGGTGGTTTTGCATACAAAACCTTGATTATTTCTTTTATTAAGAAGGGAGAAGTAAGAGTGTAACTTTGGTCCTCATCCCCTCATTGGAAGGAACCTGTGAGCACAGGTTGGGCAGTTTAATTCTAGGAAATTAAGCTGCAAATTCTCATCAAAATGTCCCAATGACCCTGTATTCTACTACAGCCCTTTCTTATTCAAGTAATTTAAGACACTCAATAGGCATTAACCTTCAGAAGATTTTGGGGAAGGAGATTGAGAACTCCTCACTGCTGCTTAAATGCAGGCCAAAGAAGGAAGAACATGATGCTCTGATGCACTGGTGCATGGCAGGAAATATTTCTGTGCTTAAAGACCCCTTGAGTCTTTCCCTCATATGTAGTCTTTTGTCTAAGGCATAGTCCCAGTGAAGTCAGCAGGACTCTTCACTGAGGTGCCAATGAAAGAGGGGGCTGTATTTCCTGCATCACCCCCATGTACTGCTCCTGTGCAGAATACTGCTGCCATCCAAAGTTGCTTTACAAAAAAAAAAAACCAAAAAAACAACAAACGCTTCAGGTGAGCAAATGCAGGTCCTTGCGGTGTACTTTGCCCTAAGGCCCATAATCCCACAGCAGGGTGAGCCTATGGCTGGCTATAAACTGGGAATGATGCAGATACCTGATGGCGCAAGGGTGGCCGTGGCTCCTGACTTGGTGCTACTGCTGTTGGGAGTGTCTAGAATAAAACTGGCCCCGAAGATCGAGATGATTTTGAAATACAAAGTTTACTAAAACCTAAAGAAAGAGTTTGGATGAACTGTGTGGTTGTTCCCCCCCACAGCTTGCATCATAGCTGGGATATCTGCACGAGCTGCACAGACAGCATGGCCAGCGTGGTCTGACTGCAAGAGCGTTTACCCGCGGAGCGGCCAGCGGGAAATCTGCTGGCAAACCCCTGTGCTCAGCGGGCCGTGTGCTGACACTGAAATTATCTGTGCTTTGCACTGACAACCGCTTCCTTCAGCTGGGGAGCTCTCCAATGATGAATCTCTAACAGTAATTGCTTAGTCTGTCATCTCCCAGCTGTTTCTGTTCTCCTAGGCACCAAATCCTTGTCCTATTTTTATTTCATCCTCAGTCAGGGATGGCTGCAGTGGAGCTCTGATAGTTTGCACCTTTTTCAACTGTGCTGTTCAGCTTGAATAAAATTTGTGCCTGAGCAAGTGACCAAAAGTGTGTGCAATTTAAATATGCATGTCCTGCAGAGTACTTGGTGTCTTGGGTGTCTAAAATAGAAGTGCAGTTTTTGATAACCTCTTGCACAGATTCCTCCTCATTGTCCTCTTCCATAGATTCTTAGCCAGGGATTTCTGACTCTTCTTGTTCTGTAATACTTTGTGATGGCTCTTAATGAAGTTCCTGTGACTTCTTCATCTCTGAGTAGTAGCTTATTTCAGTTTCTTCCACCTGCAGAGTTTTTTTATGAGCCCAGGCAATGATTTTATAATTCAGAGAGCCTTCCCCAGAATTGTTCAGAGTCATGTGGTTTTGCCCCACCTTCATTTCCTGCAAGAGTTGAGTCTGTGACATAAAAGCAATGAACTGATGAACTGGCTGATAACAACTAAATAGGTAAAATGTCAGTTGGGCTAGATAACATTTATGATTACTCCTCTAATGAGATGTTACATTTCTGCTGATTTTTTCTTACGCCCTTCCTTTATCTCTTGTCATCTGTAAATTCTTCAGGTCACAATAATAATATTTTCAGAGACAAATGTCTATTAATATGAACCTATAGCTAATTAAAGATGTGTATTTAAATTCTCTGAAATGTGCAATTTTACTGAGTGCTAATTGAGAGGAAAATAGTGTTACACTTTTTGAATGGTTCTTTAAGTAGTTCCTTATGTAGAAGCTGGAATTGATTTCACAGTTCAACTTAAAAAAAAAAACAGTATTTTTTTCTCTAGTAAACAATAAAGTTGGATTCTGACATTTTCTACCAAATTCCCTTGTACTTGTACTGAATATGAGAATGTGGGTTTGGAAAAAAGGTATGAAGCCTCTGCAGACAGAAACTGTCAAAAATCACTGAGTAATAATGGGGAAATAAATAAATGGTGGTTGCCCAAATGTCAACTTGTGTGAGCTTCTCAGCTGAAGGTGTAACAGTGCCTCTGTTTTTTTAACTGTATGTATTGCTCCAACTGTCAGTTGCCTTCAAAAATGTCTTAGAAATAAGAGTTTCAAACCTTTTCCCAGCATACAGTAGCTTGTGGGCAAAATTGAATGATTTATTACAAGCATTTTCCAGAAAACTCATGCTGAGACACTTCTTCAGCAGTGTCTTATGATTTCCAAGAGTGCTCATTATCAGGTGAAGTCATTAAAAATCTGCCATTGCCTTCTGATAAATCAAGTTATAGAAGCAGTTTTTAAAACCTGATTTTTCAAAGCATAAATCAAATCTGAGTCAAATACTTAAACATCAAGGTTTGAATGGAGTTTTATAAATGTCTGCAAGGTGCTAAGAAAACAAAGCGATCGTGTCAAGTATTCTTGCAGTGGATAAATGCCCAGCTGCCTTACACATGGCCGTAGCTCCCCATAGCCAGGTGAGAGAAGCCAGTGGCACTGCCTGTGGTCTGAAGGAAGAACCACATATTTTAAGAACTCAGAGAGATTGGCTCCTGGTCTCATGTTTCAATCCATTTACACGAAAATATCTACTTATTCACTGATATTCAGTTTAAATGCACACACCAGAGAAGATGCACTGTTCTTTTTTCGGACCATTTACGTTCAGCGTCCAGATGGATCATGTACAGCTTTGAACACTCCTGTAGCTGTGGAAGAGGTGAAAGAAACAGATTGATCTGTTGGTTTAGGAAGGGACACAGGAATGCAGCATATCACAGTCTAGGGGCATTGCTCAATCCACTAGCAGAAACTTAAATGCAGTACATTAAATTACAGCCTATTTATGGATTTGAAGGTGTCCATGTGATTAAAGAGTAACTCCAACACAGTGAACTTTGAGATCTGATCCCCACAGCGAGGAAAAAACAATACACAGTTCCCACACTGGTTTACCCAACTCCAATGAATTCTCCTTAACCTAGCATTTTCTCAGCAGAAGCTGTGTGTGAGAAGAAAAAACTCAGATTTTCCTAGCGCAAGGCAGTTTGTGTGTAAAATCTAGTGGATAGCTATTTTGAATGGAATTAAACAGGAAAGGAAAAAAATTGTGAATGATGTAATTGGCTGTTGTAGGTTGTAAAGCCAGAGGGGAATTTACAAGCTAAGGACCTTCTCCCCAGTGCACTCTGACAGCTGTTGAGTCTGTGGGAGACGCAGGAGTAGAGAGCAGCAGGAGTGAGAGGAGTTAATCACATACCTGAGCTGGCTGTGTAATCCAGGCTTTGATGGCTGGCAGGACAGACTGCAGATGTGCAGTCACCTGGCTCATGCATTCAGCAGTCTGGCTTCCTTCTCATTCCTACTGGTGGTGTTTAGTTGAGCTTGGAATTATTAAGTGCTGGTGGGCTTGATTCTGTGCGCTGTCGTAGCACTGTTAAACCAGGAGTTAGAACCAGTTCCACTACAATAAAGCCAGAACAGTGAACTGGGGGGTTAGGCACTTCCTGTACTGTCTCTGATCACAGCACAGATTTATTGGCTGTTGTTTAAGTCTACCCATTGGAAAAGCAAGAGAGCTGTGCCTATGATTGTTTGTTTTTGGGTTCATTTGGCACTGTGTTTTGCTGCTGCAGTTTGCATTCCTCTCTACATTGGCTCAGAGTACTCACACTCTTCCAATGTCTGACACTCTTCCATTCTTATACTCCTCAATTTCCCATACATGAGAGATCAAGAAATAGAAGAAAATGTGCTACATATCCAACTTTCATGTGAGCCACTTTTAAATGGCTATTTAGTATTCAGTAACTGGTTTTTCAGCCTCCTCAGAGAAAGTTTTGGGAAGTGAATTGGACAGCAATGCTCTGGCAGCTTTTATGCCACCAACTATTTCAAAATTACATCTTGATGAAACATGTTGGCAACTGCGTGCATTTGACCTCTGTTTTTCCTTCAGCCAAAAAAAAAAAAAAAAAAAAAAAGCTGCTGGAAGCCTGAACCATTGTTCTTTGTATTTAAATCAAGTCTTTCAACTGGGAGCCAAAAAATTGCTTTTCAGTACAGCTTTGAAAAATCATCAAAGTCCAGCAGCTTATAAAAATTTTCCATTGCCTCACTATTCACAAAGTAGAATAGAAATTTTCTGTAATATCCGGGCAATTTGCAGCTCCTAAAGATTGCACCTTGTCTTGTCAAATGAGCCTAATGATTAATACTTTTTTTTTTTTTTTCATTTTTATTGGTGTCTTGAGGAATTTATAGCCTTGGACCCTTCTGATTATTCCTTTTTTAACAATATACATCCATGTCCAATCCCTGCCCATAAATGAGTACTTTCTCAGTCTTTATTATTTCTGCTGTCCATCATTAAAAGTTTTTTTGGCATAACATCAGGTTAACATCAGGAAGATGTATCTTCCTTCAGAAACCTCTCACCTGCTCAGTTGAGTTTCTGCCTTTTAATGTAACTAAAGTGTTCAAACCAGTGGTTTCTATACTATGGCATCAATGGTCTCATTTACATTGGGGATTGTTAGATGAGCAACTTTTGCTGTTTGGTTGAGAAAGAGAAGGACAAATTTTCTGCTTAGTAGGTGTTAAAAAAAAATGGCACCTTGATCCATTGTGTCTCAGCGTATTTGTGACACAGTGCTCTCTGACCAGGCAATAACAGTAACAAGTAGGCTGTTCAGATACAGGTACTTCACAATTTCCAGTGCTTCTCAAAGGCAGTTTATTATATGGCATTGCACAAAAGCCAGGCTGAAACTAACTCTGGTATTTTATCAGCCAAAATTAGTAGCTTGCCCAGATCTTAAAAAGCTTTAGGAAAAAAAACATTGTACCCATTTCTGATGATTTCATTCACTCATTCTGCATCATCTCACAGATCTAACCTTGAGAATTGTCCTCATGCCTGAACTGGAGGCAGACATATACATTTCTTGGAAGATCTGGGGCAGTCTGTCATCTTGTATGTTTGAATCTGAGAGTGGCAAGATTCTGGCTAACTGGCTATTTCTTTTGCTCTTCTGAAAGGCAGTATTTTGCTGTCTTTTTGCTTATACAGATCTTTCCCCGCTTAAAATTTAGCTTTATTTTCAGAGGTTTCTGAATTTCTTTATTAATTCTTTTAAAACTGCATCTCCCCCTAAGCTGAGGGTACGTATATATTTAGTTTGTTCAGATGTCCTTCCATCATCTTTTTATTCAGTTCTTGTTCCTCCAGCTGAGTCTAGTAATTTTCCTGAATTTTCCTGTAAAAGGTTCTTTGATGTCCTCATCTTCATTGCTCATTTTACTGCAAGCTGAGCCAAAGTGGTATTTAAAATCTTGGTATTTTGTGTAAGTATGATGTAGTGTATTTTGTCTTAGTGGAAATATAGAATCGAAAAACAATTTACATTTTAGCCATGGTCCTGAATATTAATGAGACTTCTTTTACTCACAAACTGGAGCAGTTTGACAGCCTGGTATTATTTTTATCCAGATTTTCCCAGGAAGTTGGCAACAGTATATGGTGGAAAGCAGTTCTTCAGTATCTCATTCACTGAAATTGGTGGTTCATCAACAGTGTCTGTAATTTCTGTTTCGCTTGCACAGCAATAGAATTCAGTGTGAACTGCAAATAAAAGGAATCTCAATATTATGCAGATTTTCAGCACATGTAGTTGAATTAACTCTGCTCAATTATATAAAGTTTTCCTATGATGTAGGAAAATGTAAAGAATTTAGGCCGTTACCTAAGACTGATCACATGTTGTCTGAAGTTGAAGTTTTTCCTCACTGTTCCAATACAGTTAAACAACAAACCAACACGGTAAGAAAACTTCAATCCAAAATAGGTGCTTTTGAACACAGGTTTTAAAAATTGTAAAGTCTTAATGTAAAGTGCCTGAGATCAGGTTCTGCCCCTGGTGAAGTCTATCAGTCTGGTAAAAGGGGAAATATGGGTGGCTTCAAAACATGTGCTTGGTCTTTTAATGTTCTTCTCACAAAGCAGCATTTCCAGAGGCCCAGGGGCTACTTCCATGGCCAAGAATCACCAGAGCATAGATAAGCTTTTCATGCCAGGAGCTGAGACATGGGTAAAGGCCTTTATTATTTTTCTGTACAGTCTAGAGAATTTGTCTTGGTTGATTTTAATTTCAAGGGAATAATTCCATTTATTGGCCCTTTGTACATTACAGAATTTTAAGTATCTTAATTTACAGTGCTGCAACAGGGTCTCTGCTGCACACAATTTAACTGTGCAAAACCCATCTGTATATTTCAGAATATGTTCGGAGTTTATTTTGTCATATAGTCAAGTTACAATATACTTAAATCTGTAGGAGAATGATGATTTTCTTGAAAACTTGGTGTTACAAATACATGATATTGGCAATGTGCCTAAATACATTAAGCAGCTAGTTGCAGATTTTAGTTCTAAGAAACTCATGGGTGATTACTTGGTTTGCTTTTCTTAATTGTGTGACTGGCTTAAGTATGCCTGCTTTGCTGCATTCTGGCATATTTTTTTAGAGTATTTTCAGAATATCTTTGCAGCTCTTCAAGGTGTGAATTTAAACGTTCTTCAAATTCTCTTGCATGTTTCTCTTCCTCTTGAAGGAACTTTTCTGTTGTTGAAAGGAAGGACATCTCAGGGGGAGACTGAGCAATGAATAGAAAATCATGGTTAGGAAAAACCAACAAGTGCTACAACGTGTTTGCATTATCAAATTCTAGATGTGAAAAACATCTTGACCTACAGCAGCTAATAACACTATAATGCTTTACACCTCTTCAAGAAAGCACCATTTTTAAAGGCATGCATTTTTAAAGGCATCCATGTGCCTAAATGACATGAACTGAACGTTGTGTTTGATTATCTCTGATATTCATAGCATTAGGATGTAGCTTGGCCATTAAAAATTTAAATATCCCACTAGACAGAATTAAGCTGCTGCAGAACCTCCAAAATCTATCAACTACAGGCTATGTTAGTTATTTGCATAATGTAGACCAAGGCAGAGGACAATAGTCTTTTTTGGAATGACATTGAGTATAATTATATTGGATACTGCTGATTGTCTCCTGTAATTTTAGCTCTCTGCTTCTGTGGTATGATACTTTCTGAGGAAAGGAAGAAAACTTGTGCTCATTTCAATACTATTAACTCCAAGCCCTGACATTCTGGTGAATGTACTAAATTTTTGTTCACTGCAAGTAATTCACTGAAAAATCTTCTTTTCATTTCATGAGCATTTAGTAGACTCGGACACAAACCATACCAATAATCAGCCTTTAGATGGTTGTCATGAGATGCAGAGCTGTATAAAAATGACATGTGTGAATCTTTGCTGGAACAAAGTCTAAATTTTTAAGCGCCAATTTTTGTTAATTTTATTGCTAATACCTAAGATTAATTCATTGGAATATCTTTATCAAAAGAAATATGAAATAATTTTTCTTTTACTAACAACACTATGCCTGTTTGAACACATTCAATGCTTTTTTTGTAGGGATAAATGCAATTTTATGACACAAATTTTTGAGATTCGGCTGAAAAAAACAGTATAGGGGCTTTAATATTAAAAGAGAGGTAATCTTCTATTTTTATATTGTCATATATTGAGAAAAATGATTGACATCTTTAATTTTAGTTAAACCATACCTTAAATAGTTTTAGTTACAGATTAAGTTAGTAGTATAGAATTTCAGGGATTTTTCTAGAATTTAAAAATGTTTGAAGTTTATGTGTTAGCACATCAAACAGGAATTCAAATATTCAGATGGTCTGTGGAAAAGGCCAATTATATTACATCTGTAAATTTTTACTCCAGGCTCCACCATGTCAGAATGGGGTATTCCCTATTTCCACAGCAGCTAGAGACAGATTTGGACTTTGTTTTCAACTTCATTGAAAACTGCTCTCTAGCAGCTTTTAAGGCTAAAAGATACTAATTAGAAAATGCTCTAAAGCACCAATCCATTCAAACCCTTTGTAGTAGACTCTGAGATAAAATTTAGAGAATTCCTATAGGAAACCCATTTTCTTTTCAAAGTACAGAAGTGAGTGACAGCTGGAAATAAATTCTGAGTTTAATACCATCCTTCTTGCGTGAGAGAGGCCTCCTGATATATAGGGCTCCTAAAATGAAATTCACAGAAAAAGCAGAATCTTCCTTTTCTCAATCCCTCTAAAAGAATGATTTAAAATGGTGGGCAAGATAAAGTGACTTAATTTGACATGTATGAATAAGAAACCTAAAGATATTGGGTCACTTTTTGCCATAACAACCCTCTCTCAATACTTGTACTAGCAAGAAAAAGAACAACAATCCTCTAAAGTTTAAGAAAATGGAGAGACATCACCTGCTTTTGATTCTCTTCATAAACATGTGCATGATTTCCCATTCACAAATTATCACTTTTCCCATATTAAGAGTTTTTCCTGACATTCTGAATGCCATGGCTACATGCCATTTATTCTTTCATGGGCTAGGTCACAAATACATTTCCTTGTGTTGTCAAGATTCAGTGACAGAATTGTTAGTACTATTTTAAATTATTTGAAGAAGGCTTTTGTATTATGAAGAATACATTGGATTTGGAGGCTTAACTTAAAGAATCACCATGTGTCTCCCTTTCTAAATGCCAGCTATGAAATAACTGATTCAATGCTGAACAAATAAAACACTTTCAGTGAGAAGCATGAGAAACTGGGAAAATCTGAATCCGAAATACAAATTTAACAGGTGTCATCACCTAGAGAAAAATGTCATGTTAGACTTTTCCTTATGGACTGCAAATTTACACAGGTGCCAGTCTGTGTAGAAAAGATCCTTAGAAATTCAGCATAACAATGCTAAGAATTACTGACTTCTCATTGGAAAAAGACTGTTCTCACAATCAAGCTATCTTCACAAACTGTTAATGTCCTTTGCTTCAACTGGTACTTTGATGTGTTTCTTCTTGAAATACACTGTAAACTCCGAATGAGGCATTTCATCTCTCAGAGCAGAGAGAAGAATGTTTATCATTTAGAATAAGCAGGTCATGGCTCCCCACAGCTCCTTACCCGAGGGTCAAACATCACAGACTATGATTTTAGATAGGTCCCTAATGCATTGTTTTTCATGCACTTTGAGAGAAGGTTTTATCTAAGCAAGTCTAAAAGGCAACATTCCTTGTTAGCAGCATTTTGCGTTCCAAGCCTCTGGTCTGTTCTTTCATTATGTTCTTTATTGTCTTTACTTTTGGCCTTGGAGGAAGAAAAATCACAAAGAAAGTGCTTTAATCCATGTCTCAGATGAGATTCATGGTCCTTGGTTTTGAATTTCTTTTTCTCAGATATTACTGCTTTTATGTCTTTTGGTTTTCTAACTGCAGCTGGATAGGGATGGGTTCATCATAAGCTTTCCATCTAACCTGTTTGGGTAATAAGGCAAGGAGGACTCTATTTTTTCATTCCTACAGTGCCAGCTGATCTCATATTTCTTTGGTTTATACCAGTAATGAGAAACACCTTTCTGCCTCATCATTAGCTGGAAATGAAGGAGTGCACCTCATAGAGATGCATATTTCAACAGATGAAATATGTCTTCTCCTTAAATAAGAACTACCCAAAATGGTCAAGAATTCATTCTGGATTGCTGGGAAGGAACCCTTCAGGAAACTAGATCTCTCAAAGAGAGAGAGAGACAGAACTGCCTAATTAATTTGCCTAGAGGTAATCTCTTACTTGCCCCATGAGTTGACCCAGCATTCTTGGATGCACCTGCAGCAGGGCAGCCAGAAAGCTTTAACATGTAGGATATTTTAACATTTACCAGTTAAATCATGAGCGGTCAAACCCCACTGTTAGTCTTCTCATGTTTAGCTGCTTCTACTTTCCAGGGAATATTTTGGAATACCAAGAGTAGTCTGGCTGGCTGGCTAATTAGTCTTAGTGGTCTGGCTAATTTTAGTTTATAGTGACTAAATTTGGGATGTTTAGGGAGCAGTTTCCTCTGCTCTTAGGCAGCAGGTGCTGTCTTAAACTTGCTTCTGCTCATGTATGAAAATTAAATTTGAGATGCTTAAATTGCTGAGTGACATAAGAAGATTTTTAGACGGCCTACGTAGCTAGGTAATAGTAATACTTAAGAGTGAGAGGCATGGACTATAGCATGCCTCAGGGTAGTAGCAAGACTGTCAAAATAATTCCTAATGGTGTCCAGTGGTAGAATTTCCACAACTTTCCATTGCAATCTATTTATTAAGAAAGTTCCCATACTAATGTTAGAAAATTTCCTAATGCATAATTTAAATTTTAAATATTAAAGTTTAAGTCTTGTATTTCCAAGCCTTAAAGCCAGAACAAACAACTGTCTATCATCTGAAGAGAAACATGAGAAACTATTTATGACTAAAAGATCAACCAATCATTTTCTGAAGTTGTTCATTTCAGAGAACACAGCCTGAAGTACTGTTTAGAAGAAAAAGTATTTCCCTAGATTTGGAAACCCTTGAAACAGGAATTTTTGGGGTTATGGGAATTTCCAGTGAATCCTAGCTGAGCTTTCTGGTTTATTATAAGGCAAGAATGACTCTTTCTATACATATCACCTCTAAGTAAGAATGTGAAAGGACAGAGGTTGCAGTGGAACATTTACCAATCTTTGTCGGAAGATTCTTTACCAAAAGGAGAGATATAAGTCACTGTCTAAAGCGCTACAGACTATTTTCTCTTTTCCCTCAATACCAAGAGTTATTTTGGTCGGTATCAGGCCATCACCTGTAAATTTGATGTTTTCAATTTGTAATACAAATATTCTTCAGAAAACTAGCGCCTTATAAGATTTTCTGAAGTTTTGAACATACTGGAGATTTCACACGGGTCCTGCCCCAATGTTCTATGCCACTGAAGACATCAGAACTCTGTCAAATAACTCTAAGTTTAACATATTGTGTATTTCCCCCCTCTTTCTCCTCAATGGAACAGCTTTGCATATGAACACAGAACTCTGGAGTAACAGACTGTTGAATGATTTCTGCACTAAAGCTGTGGTATCCAATGTCAGCCTGAGTGATGGTTTAATTTCAGAGGTCTGAACTTGTACCTGCTTCAATTGCACTGATTTGGACCTAGACTCTGCATGAAAAATATCTCTTGCTTAAGAGTTTTGTTATGTGTTTGCCCACACACCTGCTGTAAAGTCTTGGCATTGATGCTGGCCTGAGTGCCAGCTGGGAAATAGTTTCTCTGCAGCTTGCAGTAGTGTCTCAGAAGGGACTTTTTCCCCAGCCTGTCTGGAAACAGAAGCTTTGCAATTTGGTGTCTCTGTCTGACACTTATGACAGAAGAGAGAAGAATTGGTGTTTATCAGACTCATCTGGAAAAGTCCAATGACTCTTTTTATGATTGGCAGTTTAAAGAGGAAAACTCTCAAGCCATAAGAAACCAAAAGCTGTTTACTTAAAGTTCCTGTGAAACATAAGAATATAAAAATGCAAGTGAGGTCAAACACCTGGGACTACATGGTTCCCACTGTTCTCAGTCCACTGGGACAAAGCTGATGGGACCACAATCAGTGATGGGCTGCACTGCAATCCCTGCTTCCCAAGTGCACCATCATTACAGCTCCTCCTATCAACAGGGAAAGTCTGGACTATGGAGATAGCTCTGCAGCAGCCATATCTCTGACAGGAAAGGCTGTGCATTTGTTTCTGAAGTGGACAGCAGAACTGGGGTACAGCAGCCACAGATACAATTGCCTGTCAATCCCCCCAGTAAATGCTGAAGTCTTCCTTCTTCTCTCTCTAAAGGTTCAGCCCGAGCCCTGCAGCTGAGAATCTCCTGGTTACAAAGATCCATGTATCACAGCTGGACAGAGGGAGGCCTCTAGTTCATTTCTCACTTACATTCTTCGTTTCACTGCTTACTGATGGTATGATTTCATGGTTTGAGATCAGGAAAGTGCTAATTGTCAAGTGCAAAACAGTAGTGGCCTTTAGTGGAGGCCTAAGGAAGAAGAGACGATACTAAGAAAGAGGATATTTAAAGGGAGGTCTAAAGCCAAATAATTATGGAAAGATTTTCTTAAGTTGTCCTAGGCAAAGTGGGATTTGTCCCAGTTGTCATGGAGGGTGATACTCTCCAGACTATGAAGACAAAAAGAAAGAATGCTGTCCTATTACTCTTTCACTTCAAGAAAAGTAAGAATCACAGTACTTATAATTTCTGCTTCTTTTCAAATACAATAGCTAACATATGGAAAATAGTTGCTATGATTTTTCTGATTTCATCCATCAATCAAAGAGATGTAGATCAAATAGGAACTTGATTTGTCTAACAGCACTTAAGGCAGTAAGTTTGCAGGCATTATGGAAATACAATTGAAGCAGAGTGCTCTTATATAGGCAATACACAGCAAAGTGCCCCAATATAGAAGCCAATAAGATGTAGAAATCTTTCTCACAGTCACATAATGGCAGGTAATTACCACCACTGTTATTAGAACAGAGGTATGGCTCAGTAGGGGATGTTTAATCTCCAGAAAAACAGCATTTGTGTTAGGGTAAGGTATTTCCATTTTTGCTGGGCTGGCACTGTATAAATAATAATGACAACAAGAGTGATCTAATTTTTGGCTCCTCCAAGGCTACATTTGGTCCACAGATGGATTTTTGAGAATATACGTGTTATAGGAAAATAGTTACTTACCGATAATTTGATTTCTCCCGCATTGTAAACAGGGCTCTGAAAGCTGCCTGTTCTGCCCACTGCAGGAAATGGCCCAGGAAGACCCAAAGGACACCCCACTGGTGGTAATGGAGATTTATGATCTTTATTCTTTTCATGGCCTCTGTGAAGTGGAGGAGAAGATAAAGTGCTATCATTCTTTGAACCGGTGATACTGCCTTGGCCATACAAAGCAGGACTGCAGTTTCTGTGGCATCCACCAGCAGTGAGCATAGCAGTCTGTTGACATTCCACTTCCCATGAATCTTTATTTTGGAAGGATCTAAAAGAAAAAAAAATCTACATATGAAACCCAGTTAAAACTCTTAAACTATCACAGCAAAGCCAAGGATTTTTCTTTTTACTTGTTTACATAGTTTCGATTACTTAGCTGTTCAAACTGCTTCATGCATGAAGTTATGGGCATAAGATTCGGAATTACCAAATTGCAGCAATTTACCAGATTCCACCTAGGTTACTGTAAAACTCTCAGTGTGCTTCAGCTGTGAATTAAACCTCCATAATTTAAACCCTTTCCCTGGAGCTTAGGTTGAGGAACCTTGCCTTGCTTGGTATACTGTGGCTAGAACGAGCTAAAATACAAACTCACTTCAGGTATTGAAGAAGCCAATACTCCTTAAGTGTTTGTTACTTATCCTTTGCTAATGGCCATCATTCCTTTTTCCAGTGGAAAAAGCTATGCAAGCAATCTATGGCCATGTCTAGGGCCAGAGTGAATTCAGCCACACAAACAGAGGAAATGAAATATGAAAGTATGAGAGAAGAGAAAAAAACCTATTATTGGTGATTGGAAAATTAGTCAATTTTGATCTAATAGCATCTTAAACAACTACGTTCAAGTGGCTAGAATTTAGAATAAATACTTAAAAAAATATAGTACAGGAATCTTTGATTCTGCATTTTTACTGCAATGATAGTTTTGCCACTGATTTAATGGCAACACTTTGGAGATTAATATAAAAAATTATTAGCTTTTTAAAATGCACATTCTAAAAAATTGTACAATAACATGCTTTTGTAACAATAAATGAAATCTTCAAGCTTAAAAAAATTATTTTAAGCACATTATTATGATTTTCCAAAACTCTTGTATCTTACTGATCAGAATTGATGTGCAAGTATGTATTTCTAATAATTTGTATTTCTGTAAAGCAAAAGCTATTAGGGTTAATTAGCTATTAACACCTCAAAAATAAGAAAAAGAAAGCCATTTTCCTTTCATTCCCAAAATAGTTAACTGAACAATTCTGATACTGTATTGATAAAAGCAGACAATTTTGAGACTTGCTTGCCCAGATGTTTTCAAAATTACACTAATTTTCAATTGCAGCATTCCTTGTATTATATACCAATACATGCAAAAAAACTTATTTCAGATTCTATTAATTTTATGTTACAGTATTTTTAGCTGAGATAAAAATTTCCATTGTATTGAGGTCTGTGCTTATGATGAAATTTTAATCTTGGGAGGTAACTACTAAAACATGACAGCAGTTTGAACAGATTCTATCATTGCAAATATCCTAAAACACACTAGTAATTTGAAATGCAGCTATAAAAGCTTTCTAAGAGCATGTTCTCTGCCACTAAAATATAATTTAATAAATATTCAAGAGTATGCAGTGCTACTCAGTGCTATCTTTTTCTTTTTAAATATGAAGAACTTGCCAAATGAAGAGAAAAGAAAGTGTTTTCTGCAGAAAGATCACACCATCATTTTCTAATCTTAATTTAAATATTTGGTGTTTGGAGAGAGTGGCTGTGGAGCCTTGGTGGACCTACTTTTACATAAACCCTTCTGATGGTTTTCACAGAGATAGAGTTGATTTTCCTCACAGTAGTCTGAAAGGGGCTGTGTTTTGGATTTGTGCTGGAAACAGTGTTGGTAACACAGGGATGTTTTAGTCACTGCTGAGCAGATCTTACACAGAGCCAAGGCTTCTTCTGCTCCTCACCCCACCCCACCAGAGAGGAGGCTGGGGGTGCACAGGGAGTCAGGAGGGGACTCAGCTGGGACAGCTGACCACAGCTAACTACAGGGATATCCCCGACCATATGGGAGCATGCTCAGCAATAAAACGCTGGGGGAAGGTTGCCTGGGCATCACATGACAGGTGGTGGGCAATTGCACTGTTATCACTGGGCATCACTTCTTTTGTATATTCTAATTATAGAATTTTATTATTGTTGTTATTGCTATTGTACTACTACCTTCCTTTTCTGTCCTATTAAACTGTATCTCAACACATGAATGTTACTTTTTTAAAATTCCAATTCTTTCCTTATGAGTGGTGGAGTGAGCAAAGTGGGCTGTTTACCTGCCAGGTTAAACCACAATAGCCCCAAAACAGGAAACTGAGTATTCAGTACATAGACTGTACAGAACAACTCAGAGAACTAGTGAAGAACATATTTTTTCCTCTGATTTTAAAAGAAGCTGTGATTAAGATAATCTGAATGTTAGAGCAAAGCAAATTACAAGCATGATGCTTTATTATTATTTGTTATTCTAATTTTATTTTTACTCCAATCATAATAGTATTATTATACATGTTAACATAAACCTCTATTCACCAAACCTTCCAGTTTTCTAAATCACCTAAAATGTTTACCTTTATGGACACAGAGTTTTTTCCTTTCTTTACATAAATACACTCTGCTCTTTGGGCACTGGAGAATACTTTTTTCTTTATTTTTCCCCCCTATTTTAAAATCCATGCCACCTATGGTTTGGATGAAGGGCACTGTGAAAAAAAGCCTGAGACAACTGAAGATAGATGGGATGAATAATAAAATCACAGGTTTTTAAAATTTTTTTTAAATCTCATGTTCTAACCTTTTTGGAAGTAATTTTCTCTCTAAACCCATAGTAAAGTCTATGTGATCTGTGGTCTTTTTTTTTTTTTTTTCCCAGAACTGCTTCTTTATGTATTTAATAAAAATTATTACTGTTGTGTTATAATTCCTCTAAGATCAGAATTTTCAGACTTGAGTGCCTACTTGACTTGGGTTATGGTAGCCTTTAGATAATAAAAACAGATACTGCACCTCCCCTCCCAGAAAAGTAAGTAAAAAAAATAAGAAAAGGACTGTTTTTAAAAAAGGGACTCCAAAATAATATCTAAAACCATAGATCTACTTTAAATACAATCTGCAAATTTGTGAAAAGCTGTCCATTTGTTAACACTACCAATGCAAATACACGATTACTGCAGCTGAACAAGTAATGCTTTTGGTGGGGTTAGTCATAGAGTATTTAACATGCACACATGCCACACAAATAATATCACTGTTGACATGGTGACACAGAGGACAAGTAGTGAAAGAACAGTACTCTCACAAAGGCAATTTAAACAGGATCTACTTATCCTGACTCACACATAAAATCTGCCTGGTCTCTGTGCAGTCAATGACTTCAGTAATGCAAAAACCCCGAATTCCTTACTCAGCTTTGCTGGTGACATAACCAGTCTTGAGAAAGAAAACTACAAATCTTTAGTGACAGAATGTCTTCAAGAATTTGAGCTGTTGCTTTTACATGGCACATATAACGGCTAGCTTGATTTTAAAATGGATAAAAACCCATTTCATGAAGAATTGTTTTTACTGCTTCCACTTTATCTGTTGCAATAACTGATACAGTGGTGTGACTAAGAGTTGTATGATCTCCCAAAAACCTCCTTAACATAGATACTCACAGCAAACACACATCCATTAAACGATCCACAGCTACCTTAGCAGGCATTAAATCTCAGAATTTACCCTTCAACTTTCCCCACATGATGAAAGTGCACTTTGGCTTGATCAGTTATCTTTTTTGTGTATGTTTTTGTGGAAAATAAATAGCTTTTCATTTTGAAACTCACAGGCATGTTTTAATTTTGGAAGAAACAAACTGAACTGGTCAGCTTCATCAGATTGTCCTCTTTGACCATGCACAAATTTAAATCAACTGCATATGGTCAAGGTCTAAGTAAAGGATTGAAATCTTGAGAGTGGGGAAAGCTTATGTAAATGGCGATTAGAAGTAAGATAATTACATAAGAAAACAGTAATTAACAGGTGGTTATAGGTAGAATGTGGGCACAGTCAATTTTTTTAGCAAAAGGATGCTATTTCTGCATATCTTACTTCCTAGTATTTAGAAATTCCCTGTATACTGAAAGAAGGAAGAATCATGCTGCTTTTTGGATTGCCGGTATAACTTCCTGCAATTTCCTGTGTTTTCTCTAGAGGTCTCTTCTCTAAGACATGAGGGTGCCTGTGCCCAGGATTCCAGTACTGACTGAGAGACACAACTGAAAGATATTATAAATTATACACCCGTCCCTTGCACAAACACCATGTTTTCTAATTTTTTACCCTATGAAAAAAGTCTTTTGTGCCCTTTCTCCAGTGCCATAATTACCATGGAAACAGAACTGCAAATTAAAGCAGAAATAACAGGGTTTACACTCAGAATAAAATAAAATAAAAATACCCCAGATTTTAACTTAACCAAGATCAATTTCCTAGTTTATCTGTGAACATCTGATGGTTGAAAATTTAATTTTAGTTTTCTGGAAAAATCCTGAGGTAGTTTCCTGCTTGGGAACAGAGAACTGAAGTACAGAGAGGACCCAATCATAAAAACACTGGCTAGGTGATGTGCATACACAGTACATGTCAAATTTGCACATTTTAAAATCTGTTTATTTATTTATCTGAATAGCTTTACATTTAGGAATTCTAATGAATGATTTAGATTCTGAAATCTAGGCTAAATATATCTGTTTCATCATATTAACTACAATAATAATAATAATTTATATTGTATTCAGTAGTCTGGCTGAGATTCCTGTTGTGAGAAAGGTCTACTCTCACAGTTGTCTCTCTCAGAGTTTTGATTGATCTTCCACCAGCTATGAAATCACAATCCTGCAAATTACATGCATAATTCTATTTATCAAATATTTATGTTCTCATAAATTAAATTTCACAGTCTCTTATGTATAGCAAGTGTAAATCCTGAGAAAATGGGAAAAAAAAATCTTACTTCTTCCTGACTTTAGAGGAGTTGAAGCATGAGCAAAAATGGCAATGACCAATTTTGTGAAGTTATGAGACCTACTGGCGCAGAATAATATGTATCTTGGTTTACAAGTATTTGTTTCAGCAACATCTTCAGCATGGTTTCAAACTTCATAGGAAATCAGACATACCTGCTACTTCCAAAGATAGGGGTATGTGTGTGTATATATATATTCATGCATTATGTATATGCATACATATATAAAATACATATATCTATTTATTTTTACATACACATGAATGCTATCTTCAACACAAAACAACACACTTTAAAAAAAGAAATTTTAGGTAGAAATGGAGCTACATTTTCTGGGATACTGCTCTATTTTGCAGAAAGAAAATAATTTTAAATTTTGCCAAAACCTAAATGTATGAGTTTGAAATCTTAACATGTTCAATTTTGGCTCCAACTATTTCAACTTTACTTCACAGAACTATTTCATGTTCGTGTTATCATGTCAGTTCTTTATTACAAATAATCAAAATATTTAGCTTCCTATTAATTTTATTTTCCTGTACTGTGAAATACTGTTTAGCAGGGTGTTTCTTTTCTTTTTTTTTTAATTGCAATGCCATAATTATAATATGTTTGAAGGTAATTCAATGGCTCACTGAATACAGAGAAATAAGAAGAAAGTCATCACTACAATGATTTCTATGAGTCTGAATATTCTCAAGTCTCATTGTTTTTCCCTAACAAGGAGTTTATAGTAGTAATGACTTACTCAGGGCATCTGAAATTACATTTCTGTTAAAAATCAGGTCACCCAAGAACACTGAAACCAGACGAGGCATTAAAATCCATTTAATGAAACTTCCAACAAATGAAACTGGAGGACACAAAGCTTTTCAGCAGGGCCTATAGTTCAAACTGCTTATTAAGAAAACCTCCCGTTGAGAAGTTTACCTCTCATGTTGATTTTTCTAGCCTTTCCTTGTCTTGTTTTTATTTGGTAGTAAAAATACAGTCTGGTCTATCTTGCAAAACGTGGAACTAAGAATAGCTTAAGTGGCACATAAAAGGTTTTTTAAGTGTCATGTGCTAAATACTAAAACAGATATTAAACATTTCTGGGACTTCATTTATTGTCCATTTCCATTAGCCATCCAGAAAAATGTAGGAAGTCCTTACAAATATACTAATTAGGTCTGATATTTATATTGGTGGGAATTCTGAATGAACAGAAACAGCAAAAAACTGGACAGCTTGGCCCAGTCAGACCTTCCAAAACACAAGAAGTTTCATAAATGTGCACAGTCGAAATATTACCTACCTCTCTTCCTTTTCTTGCATCTTTGAATGATTTGTAGCTGTCCTCTACAATCCATGCAACCCAGTATCGATGTTTCTCATTAACAAGCTATTTTGATTGAATTCTCAAGTTTCATTTGAAGAGAAGCTGAAACCTTCTACATAAATCTATACACTGTGAAAGGAGATAATACCATCATTAAGTATTTTTTCCAGAATAAATGGTATATTTTTAACAAGCAAACACAAAACAATGTTCCTAAAGAAAAGACCTAGCTACCATATATAATCATGCAACACTTAGAGCAAATCATGAGAATTGCCTCCAGAAAAAAAAAAAATCACAGTAGATAAATGGAAAAGAAGGGATAACAGCCTCTACAACACAATAAAACAAATTAAAATTTCTCAGCAAACATGCATTCAAAATATTATTGTTGTAAATTTATCACTTGCTTTGTAAAACTGATGATATAAAAGCGACCATAACAACTATAGCTCCAGACTGCATTGCTCCCTCCAGTAACAATTCCTCCAAAAATAACAAGCAAAATTACAGGAGTTTATTACTACACTAGATATAGAATATGTGTACAGGCACAGTTTAATATGTGTGTTGACACCATCACCTTCAGTTTCAAAAACAGTGAGTAAAGCCACATCAGCACAGTGCTCTCTGTCCCTGTCACTAAACCGCATTTCTCAGCTGGGTTAACCCACATGGTGTGCAAGGCAAAATACTGCAAGTGCAAGCCACAGGTACACTGTGATCAGGAGCTAAAGACCCTCAGCCACTAGGATATCAAGAAGGGAAGATGGAAATTAACTCTGGAAGTTGTCTAGCCAGGATACTCTGCTCCTTTTTTCTCCTATCATTTAATCCATGAAGCCTATGCTGCACACCTGAGCCAACTATTTTGGAACTATCTCTCTGCAGAGTACTGCACAGCATTGTGTAATATATTTGCAATAACAGTATACTGTCATCACCAGGAAATTCTCAAAAGGTTAATCAGATTACACACAAAAGACTAAAACCCCTTGCACTTCATTAAGTTGTGCTTTCATATATCCCTAGATTTACCTCATTCTCTTGGAACTCAGTCATTACAGATTTGGTTCTCAGTACACAATTGTGCTTCTGTATTTGAAAGCTTGTCTATTCCTTGCACTGACTTGATGCCATCTCTTCCTGTGAACCTCACCTTTCTCAGTTTTAGGCTGAATTTCTGAGCCAAGCTGGCATGGAAATGCCAGAAGGTATAATAAAATTTAATATTTTGTGCAACTATGGGGGAGCAGGGGCTCGGCTATGTCTCACAAGTGGGAGGAGTGGCAGGAGAAGGAGGGCACTAAGTCATCCTACCACTAATAGCTGCAGAATAAGCAGTAAATTATAATGGCATGAACTCCAAAACTGAGCTGGCCCAGCTACATTTCTTTTGACATCTAAACCCTGAAAGTAACCTTGCCTGACTGACTAACCTAACCATACTGACTTAGGCTGGCACTGGTCTCAGAGGTCTGTGTAGTGCTCCACTGTACAGCACAAACACATCCATAAAAATCTCTCCAGTCCCTGGACTCTTAATATCAAATATATCATAATCTCTAATGTTTAGATCCTCACAATACATTAGTAAAGCAGCAAAGCATTTTTAAGGCCACAAATCTACTGAAACACGTATTGACCTTGGTGTTTGTAGTAACTGGATTTTACTGTTAAAATATAACAAACATGTGATGTCTTCAAGGACCCTTGTCAGGCAGCTCTTCTCAATCTTCAAGAAAAGTGTCACTGCGGAGAAGAGTTAGACATGCATACACACATCCATCTATGCTTCCACAATAATATATCATATATACACACAGAGAGATCCATAATAGTGCGTCTGTATGCGTAGGAAAGACATCACTGATGGACATCTGTGCCGTTTTAAGGGTGTGGATAAATGTAACATTCTTTCATGACAATTAACAGGCTACAAATCCCCCCAGAATGTATTTACATCAGTATTTCCAAACAACATTCCAGTGGGATTATTTTTGGTGATACAGTAACTGCAGATGTTCTGTAAGCAGGGGATGTTTTGAAGTTTTTTGTGGAAAACAGCATATATACAATTTATTATACCTTCATAAACCATAGTTCTAGATAATCTTATGGCACACTTTTTATCAATTAAATATTCAAGCTCCGCTGTTTGGAGAGATATAAGTATTAAACTCTGAAAATAAGCTGGGTGGGAGCAAAATGTGTCAGATTTTTACACTGCTATTTAAATGCCATGTGAACAAAGGGGTAAGATATTAAAAAAAAAGGGATATATTTTTTGTCTGTGAGGATGATGACTGTTTAAACTTAAATAAGCAATATCACTTACAAAAAAATAAGCTTCTGGAAATTGTTTTGTGTCTAGACAGTTACTGAAAAACTTAACTTACCTGTAGTTTAATACGATTAAGGTAAAAATTACTCTTAGCTATACTCATCTTGGGGCTGTCTGTGAATACCACTTGGTTTTGATTATGTTGCACACCTTATTTTTATTTACTTGATTAATGAAAGCCAGAAATCTCTGTATCTGCCATAATCTTAATATACATCTACAATAAGTAACTATTCTTGCATACTATGCGTACTTCATAGGTTAAAAAAAAATTACCATGCAACTTTCACACTCCTGGTTTTCCACCATTTCTTTTAGATGTGTGTTTTCAGATTTGATAGCTTGGTAATGGAATTCCAATAACTAGGAAAAGATTAAATTCTTAGTTAAATACAAGAATAGTACTCTCAACTGGAGTAACACTGAGTATAGATATATTTAAGCTTAATTTTACAAAATATACATTAGTAACTATAAAATTTACTATAATATTTTTGAATATAGCAATACTAAAGTAGAAGTATTAAACCATCTATAAAAGATATACAAATACAATACCTCTGAATTTATTTACCTTTTTGAAAGAAGTAATGACTTATGAAAACAAAGTCACATGCAGTTAGTACATAGAAAGAGGGACAGATTTTACAGGCCACTGAAACTGGAGGAAATCCTATTCATGATGTCTAGAAATTATATCTATTCTTTTAGTGATATGGAAATACCTGGTACAGAGCACCACACAGCAGGAGGTATCATTTTCCCCAAACAGTAACTTTACAATTGTCAAAAGTAAAGTATTTCTTCAATCACAGTTGTCAACATGTAGTGACCCTCTCATGAAAAACAGAGATACTCAGAAACCTCTAAATATGATGGTTATTTTGTTTTACAAACTAAGTAATGAAGATGACAATTTTTTTCTTAAATAAAAATTTGCCATCAAAATCTGCACTGGTGTCTTACAGTTTCCAGCTATAAAATTACTTGAATTTTCTACGCAGATTTGTAACATTCTTCAAAAATTTTTAGGAAACACTGGAAAATTAGAAACTTGAAGCATATGTAATAACCACAAACTGGAAGTTTTCAAGATCTTTTGCATGTTAAAATGACAACTAGATGTGATGGTCAGAATGAATTTCTATTTAGATGTACAGTTGACATTTACTGGTGATTTCTTGTTCCAGTATGAATTTGGCTGCTTTTGTAATACTTCACAGATATCACAGCACCACTGACAAAAACTATAGCAAGAAACATGATGTCTTTTTTTCCCACAGAAAATGAATGTCATCAATAGTGGAGCAAAATGATGTGGGCTGCTTTTGCCTACTTCCATACCTGCTGTTTTGTTAACAATTTGTGTTTTGTCTCTAACTCCATTTTTAACTGTCTTTCCAGAAGACTAGCTTTCTCCATGATAGTTGCTATAGTGATCTCTTTCTGATGAAGCTCCTCTGTCAGGTCAGAGATTTCTGTCTTCATTCTTTCCTGCTCAGAGCAATGGGAACGCTCCTCTCGATAAACATGGTTTCTTATCTGTAGCAAATACATTTCAAAAAGAAAAAATGCTGTGCAGTAAATCTGATTGCATCACTTGCTACTTATCAGTGACTTTTTCTGCTGTTGCATCCAAGACACCAACTCTTCTAACTGAACCAGAGATTCTGAAATTGTAAAATAAAATGCCTTTGGAAGTCAGTGCACAGGGCTTTGTTTATTTTTGCATCTTTTTTTCACTTCCCTTGTACTTTCATTTGCCTATTTAATATTAGAAATGAACAAAGTACAATACACTTCAATGAACCTTTTAAAAGAATGTAATAAAATCACATATAGAATTAGAATTCATGGTAAAGAATATCCAAGGAAATATGCATTCAATAAATTTAAGTATGATTTATTTATACTGCACTTAGGTTTAAAAAAAGTTTGATGAAGCTTAAATTAACTTAGGAGCAACAAAATAAATCAATCTAGAGGCTCTTTAGAAAGAAACTATGTTAGAAATGGGTATATATAGAAAATAATTTTATGAGATTTTTTCCTGCCATTAAATGTAAAAATTTACGGTCAAACTTTCTTCAAAACCTCCTGTGCAGAGTTGTCCAAAGTATCAACACAAAAATTGTCTTACTAATCTTTCTACTATAACCAAAAATTTAGTACTGAAAGATTTTTTTATTGTATAAGAAACAGAACATCAAAACCCAGCATAACAACCTTTGAAGCCATTTTATCAACTTTTTGCAGTACTATACACAATGGATAACAGATTGCGTTCCAAAATATTAGAATTGTAAAAATATATATATAAATGCAAAAAAACCTATGAGCTAGATCATGGCTAGATCGTACCAAAATTGATGAGCCCAAGTCAGATGCATCCAAATAGAGACATTTAAGACCCACTTGGCAAGCACTCCCATAACCTGCCCTAGGTGGCAGGTAGTTGGACCCTTTCAACCTAACAATTCTGTGGCTTTGCTTACATTGCTACTTAGCAAAACCACAACATGCTTCTAAGATGAGTTCTGAGCATCCTCTACTTCCAAAGTATCTCAGCCTGCCAAGCCATACACGGTTTCACAGTGCCATGCCACTGCTGCTTGCTCACAGCACTTCTGCAATGTGCAATGCAATGCGGCGCGTAGCTCCCACGAGAGAGCTCTGCCCTAGACCAACCGTGCTGCAGGTACCTGAGCAAGCTCAGCCTTGTGGGTACCAGCCACAGTCACTTGTATCACTTGATCTGTTTGCATATCCTACCTCTGACACTACCAACAAATTACAGCTTAGCTCTACAGGTTACCAGTTAATCAGAGCTTTGGAGGCTTTCTTAGCTGCATGGTATTTTCTGAATCACAATAATGTATAGGCATGGTCTCTTTTATTATTTCAGTGAAGTAGGTAGGCACAGAATCAGAATGTCAGTTTTACAGCTACACAACTAAATGCAACCATATAAAAAATATTTTCCATGTAGAAAATTTCATGTTCTCCTGAACCTACAGTGTATCCTCCTGCTCTCTACAGTATATGCACATACCCTAGGCCAGTACTCTCTCCTAAAATTCCTATACTGCAATTAAGATATGGAAATTACAGGAAATACCTTGTTCAGCTCTTCTTCTTGGTGTTCTCGACTTTCTGCAAATATCAATAACTCAGTGTTTTTAGTTTCTAGTTGCTCAGTAAGCTGAACAGGAGATGATTGATGCCTTCAAGTAAGAAATAAACAAAACATGAAACAACCAGAAGATTCAATACTCTTAACCTTGCAGTATCCTCTCCACAGTGTAAAACTGTAGAACATCTTCTTGCTGATGAAAAAATGCCCCCAGCCATAATCAACATTTGGCCTAAACCAGGCTGGATTTTGGGAGATGTCTAGGAATCAAGGACAATACAACTATCTACAGAAAGACTCCTGAAAGCCCTTATAGACTGGTATTTCATATAATTTGAAATGGCTACAGCAGATTACATAAGCCATAAAACCATGACAATTTTATTCAAGTGTTTTAATGCTGAGAAAAGGAAAGACTGTAAAGATACAAGTAGAAATATCTGAAATGCATTGATTTGTAAAAATCTAGCCATCATTAAAGCTTTTTAACATAGCCTGTATCTATTGCCAGAAATTTTCTGATACAATTGTCAATGAAAATATCCAGTCTAAAATTTAGAAGATGACATTTGAATCCAGAGTATCTTTTCAGACTTAATTTAAAACAAATATAAGAAAAAACTTATTAGCCCAGAAGTACTTGTTAATTTAAATATGTCTTCACCATCCATACTTTATTTGAATTTCCTGCATATCTTTATACTCTTTGATTTTCAATAATTCTGTATACAACTTTTGGCATTCCAGTTGTATTCTTCTCCAGAGACCATCCCTTGACTGGAGCTCATTTCTCATTTCTGAGATGTCTGCCTCCATGTTCTAAAGAAACAAGCAAATACACAAAGAGTTAAATAAAACCAGACAGCTCAAAATGCTGGTTTTTAGCACATCATATTCAATACCTGGACATACATGATTTTAATTTCAGAAAAACATATTGCTTCCACGTCAGTTCCTCTCATCTAAAAATCAGACTCTGAATATTCTTTAGCCCTTGCAATGTTCCAATGCATCTGCCTCTAAAATTATAATAGGAAACATAATTCAGAAGTTCTTTATTGTACTAAATGCATCTAAAATATATAGTTTGCTTGTTTTAGCAGGTTTTGCATCCTGGAACATGTTTCACATGGTGGAATTGGTGCCATAAGTCACTTCCATTTTCTATTTTCCTAACAGCATTTCCAAATTTATAAACTTTAGAAACGACTAGGCTGCATAAATCTTCTTCAAAACTAGTTCCATCTGCATGGAGTTCATTGCTTATTTAAATAAGCATCACAAAAATTTCGAACAATTGAAAAAAGATTTTTCTTAGGGACTTGACAAATGTTATTCTGCTTTATCTTTTATTTCTGATTGATAGTGTGTTAGACAACCTGAAGACACCTATTACATTTGGCATGATAAAACATGAAATAAAAAAAAAAAATCAGAATTTCACAAAAATATACTGAAAACATACGAAATATAAGAAATTGGAAATACAACCCACAAATAAAAAAGTACCAATAACAATCAATGCTTCCAATAGTAATATCAAGAGAATATGTATTGTTTCTCACCTAAGATACAAAAGCATATTTCAGATTAAAAAAAAAAAAAAGATTTTTCCAAGGATATTGATCCTTTACCTTTCAAACTATTACACTAAAAACATTCACATTTTTCATAATTTCTTCATTTTATTTGAATATAGCTTCCATCTTTAAGAGCGAAAATAAAGCCTTTAAGATTTCAAAAGAGAACTGGATTACAGAAACTGCACTGCAAGGAAGAACTTCACAGGTTTATTTCCCTTAACGGCTCCTATGAGAATGACCCTCCTCCCAAGAAGCTAGTGGTCTTCTGGCTGAAAGGGTTGCTAAAGACAGATACGAAGTGCTTTTGCATTTTTTTGATTTTTTTAGGGGGAGGCTGCATATACAGACTTATTCATCTTATCCTTTGTTACATTAAGACCACAAGAGCTTTTTTTAAACATCAAATGCAATTCCGTGTATATTCAAGTGAAATAAATCTTAATGAACTGTTAAAGTTCTTGCTAAGACTTGTTTATTCTTATCTTCATGACTCCAACATTCAAGAAATAGCAACAATTGTTTTATAACATAGGAACTTGGGAGATGGTTACCCCTCTGACTTCATTCTGGGGTGGCTAAGGGAAATAAATTCCACACAATTGTGTGGCAGAAGTCATATTTTCTGTGATAGACTGCAGTCAGCACACATATTTACATAAATTGTATTTTCTTGTGAATTAAAATAGTAGCAGGAAGAACAGCAGCCACAGCAGCAGCTGCAATAATAATTGAAACAGAACTTCAGGTCAAGAGTTTCACAGTTTCACATATCAGCTAAAAAAATAAATTAGATATGCATCACTTACTATTTTAGAAAATATCTACCGCATCTGGTTAAAATGAAAATTAATTTTGAAGCAGAAAACTTTAGGATTTGTTTAGAAAATATCTCATATAAAGAGTCTATTTCGAATTGAAAAAATCATTACATCTTTTCTTTCCTTCTGTGAAAAGTTTTGCTTCTACTAGCTTGCCAATCAAAACAAAGTCCCAAAAATTTCCTGATCAGCTCTTTTTCTAATTCTACTCAAAGCTGTTTGTGGCGGGTTGACCCTAACTGGATGCCAGGTACCCACCACAACCACACTGTCACTGCCTTTCTCTTTGTTTCTTGAGATAAAGACAGGGAGAAACCATTCACCAGTTACTGCCAAGGGCAGAACAGACTCAACTCAGAGAAATTAATTTATTGCTAATCAAATTAGAGCAGGTTAATGAGAAATAAAAACAAAATCTTAGAACACCTTCTCCTCATGGCTCCCTTCTTCCCAGGCTCAACTTCACTCCTCAGTTCTCTACCTCCTCCCCTCCAGTGCTGTAGGGGTATGAGGAACGGCGGCTGTGGTCTGCTCATCACACCTCGTCTCTGCTGCTCCTTCCTTCTCGGGAGGACTCCTCACACTCTTCCCCAGCTCCAGTGTGGGTCCCTTCCAAGGAAGATGGTCCTCCATGAACTTACTCATGGTGAGTCCTTCCCATACCCTGAAGTTCTTCATTAACTCCTCCAGCATGGCTTCATTCTATGGGGTGCAGTCCTTCAGGAACAGGCTGCTCCACTGTCAGCCCCCCAGTGGGCTCACAAGTCCTGCCAGGAAACCTGCCCCAGCATGGGCTTCCCTCTCCACAGGGCCACAGGTCTCGTCATGAGCTTGCTCCAGCACAGGCTTCCCACAGCCTCCTTCAGACATCCCCCTGCTGGGTTCCTCCAGGGGCTGCAGGTGGATCTCTGCTCCACCCTGCACCTCCACAGGCTGCAGGGGCACAGCTGCCTCACCATGGGCTGCAGGCGGATTTCAGCTGTGGCACCTGGAGCCTCCTGCCCATCGTCTCTGCTGACCTTGGTGTCTGCAGGGCTGTTCCTGTGACATATTCTCACTCTTTTCTCCCCACTGCACAGGGCTCCCCCCGCCTACCTTTTGTTAAATACATTAACCCCAAGGTACCACCATCACTGCTGTTGGGCTCAGTCTTGCCCAGCTGCGGGCCCATCATAGAACCGGCTGGCATTGGCTCTGTCAGACACGGGGGAAGCCTCCTCACAGAGGCCAGCCCTGGAGTGCCCCCATTACCAAAACCTTCCCAACACAACCCCAAATCACTATTCAACCTTTTAAATACAATTATATGGTGTATTTTTACATAAATTAGTATCCAGCAGCTGACATAATGCTGACTTTTCAAGAACCAAGCCCCTTGTGTGATGTTTTCAGGTTACCTCTCAAGTTATGGTTGCAGATAAGTTTGTCAGATAATTCACAGGGTAGAGAAATAGACTGCAGTCTCCATTTAGATATTTTAAACTTTGCGTTTTCTGTAAAGTCAACAAACTGCTCTTCCAAACATTTCACTTTATTATTTCCTAATTAACAGTATAAGTAAAATAGTTAGAAGCACGCTGAAATGATCATAGGCATAAAGGAACATATGAGGCTCAACAATTCTTGCTTTCATTGCCATCAGAGTTCTCCACACCAAGATTCCCATCTACTCCTTCCTCCATTACCCATATCACATCCCAACTATTGCCATCCTCCACCTAATTCTCTTTTGCGCAAATCTGCTTACTTTTTCTGGCTGACAACAGGCCTTGTACTTCCTTCTTTCTCATACAGACATTCCTAAAAAAATATTTTCCCTGAGCTACCCCTTTCCACCATTCATTGACATCAGTGTTTCCCTTATGCAGCTATTTCCAAATGCAGTTTTTCTAACTAACATAACAGCATTCCACACCACCAACACAGTTATTCTGCAACTTTCTGCCCTTCAGATGACACTGTTATGTACATCTAGCTCCACTTCTACTTAAAGTGTCTTCAAGCATCCTACAGCTCCTGTATTCTCTTGAATATGATTCCAAAATTCTTCCTGCTTGAAGATTTTCTTCAAGGCGACAGCACAATCTCTCTGTCATATAGCATGTATCCACTTGCTGCGACTGCCATGATTTGTTCCACTGCACAGTCTAGTCCCACTGCTTCTGATGATAGCCTTTTTAACAGGCCCCAAAACAGAAGTTTTGCTTGCACACTGATAACGCGTACTCAGGCAACGACTCAGTGAACTAATATGCAAATAGCATGTATAAACTTGGCTCTTCTGACAACACCTGACAACACAATCTGAAATTAACCTCTGCCACATATATGCTAATTCCTATGAAGTATATTGCATATACTGTTAGCACTCTGCAAGACTGTTTATAAACAAACAAATCTTTCTCCAAAATGGTTTGAAGTTTCTATACACCATTCAATATATTACTGAACCTAGAAGTGTTTAAATAAAAAAGCAAAAGCATAACTGGTATATGTCACCAGAAAAAAAAAAATCAACTAAAATTTCATTCCTGATATGTTTCAAACACAGATAATACAAAAAGGTTGTAAAGATCTTATGTTATCTCAGTCTTCTCAACTCATATACCATGACCAAAAGAAGAGGAGGAAATGGCTGACTTCATAGATCAGTGCTATACTGAAAAACAGTAAATTAGGGATAAAACCTGATGGTTATTTACAATAGCCACAAACTTAAAAAATTTTAAAAATTGACTGCACAATCTCCTTTCAAAATAAACGAAATATACCATACATGTTTGTATATACTCCTTTACTAGCTATATGGCACAATGAACAGCAAGGTGTAAATCAGATAAAGAGATTTCACAGAAGTCATTTATATACAAGGAACCAAACTAGGGGAAGTTCATGTTAGGAGAGTTATAAAACCCTAGATACATAGACAAGAGAAAAAAATATATTGCTACAAATCAAACTTATTTCTATTTTACTAAAAAACCCATCCCATAATGCTCCCAGATTATTCTGTCCATGCACAGAATACATCTAATGTATATTTATGTAGGAATCTCATCTTGATTTTCCAACCTTAATTCCAGAGTCATCATAAAAATCCATTACTACCTGGCACTGATTTTGGTACATTTTTAGATCCTCATGGAGTTTCATGTTTTCCTCTACCAGTTTATTCTTGTTGCTTGCTATTTCTTTCACAATCGCCTTTAGTTTTTCAATAATCGAATCATCGTTTTCATCGTTTTCACTTTTGGTTTGGGTATAGGTAATTAGCTCTTCTTGGCTTTGTTTCTTATTGCATATTTGATGTTGATAATTTTGGGTCTGCTTCTACAAAACAAACAAATATTTTAAATTAAACTCAATAATTGTATGTAAATTGCTAGGACCAAATTGTTATTAGTGAAATCATAAGACTATTCCTGTCTTCAGCTAGATTTGCTTAGAAAAGATGACATAATTCAAACAGTTTGAATACTTGCCCTCAGTTAAAAAAAAAAGTTTCAAAAACCTTCAAGGACACAGGAATTTTTCAAGGATTTTTTTTCTCCTGTGCTGTGTATTTTCCTAGTATTTAATGTTAATGAGCCTCAAATGTGAAAAAGGTGATTATGATGACCTATTCAAAGCAGTTACCTGTGAGAAATAATTTGAGAGAAATGTTCCTCTTTGATTCATTGAACTCAGCAGGAGCTGCGTGTGTGTGTGTGTGTGCCTCAGGATAGATATTAACCTTTGACTAGAGGGCTACATTACACAGGTCATCTACAAACCTGCACTTCTTTGAGATCATTATCCTTAAACTTGGGGAAGAACCATTCGTACATTTGGCAGAGTCCTACACCCCATGCAGCTTCTTGTACCAATTAAAATTCTAAACATAAAACTTCAGAAAATTGGTATTGCCCGTATTTCTGAATCCACAGGCATTGTGAAGAAGCATAATTACTATAGCAACTGTTTTTGCTGTTTAAAAAAAATTATCTTCATGAATCCCACTACTGGGACATTAACAAGCAGCACTAATATTTCAGAAGACTGAGAATTACTTGAAAAATTACAACACAATATGACCTGGAAATCATATATCATGTGCAGAAAACAAGTTGGGCAAGAAAATATAAAGTAAAAATAAATAGGGTTAAAAACACTATATTTCACTGACAAGGACTGCAAAAAGTCATACTTTAGACAGTTTTTGATGTTATTGCAATTTGTGTTACCTGAGAACCTAAGTAGAATGGACCACTGGCTGCATATCAAATAAAAAGCAAAAAAAAATTGGTAGGTTAAGTTTCATTTCTATAGATAAAAAATTAAGGTCCCTTTGACATCCAAGTTATGGACTCTGATATACGAAAGTGTCAATACATCCTGTGAAAATATAGTGCAAGACCGCAACTGGAAATCAAAGATCTCATGAAAGATGAATTTGAGGCAAAGATGCAGGAACAACTAACACTTTTGAAACAACTATGGGTAACAGTTCATCAGACTTGGATTTTAAAAAATAGTTGGTGCTATGTTACAGTTGTGAAGGAAATTGTCTTCAAAGCAAGTTCACTGATGGCAATGAAAACGTCAACAAAAAACTGTGAATGATCACCCTGAGTACTCTATTTTGACTTGTATAACTGTACAATCAACATGTCATCAGTCAATAGTTTAACCTGGTCAAAGACTTGCATTTTTAACACATTTGTATGAAAGTTCAATTGCTGGAATATAATACTCTCAGCAGCTAAACCCAAAACAACTGTTGTCCTTGGAAACTCTGGATATGTGTAAAGAGTCTCACAGGAATTGTTAAGAAAGTGTTTCACTAGATTAAGATCCAATGAGCTTAGTAACAGTGGAGAAGGGAATTACCAGTGAGCAACATAACTGGCTTCCCCTTAATTTTCAAGCTCTCTTCTGGTGCAGTCAATTTGTAAGTTATTTTCTGGTGTTATTTTTAGAGAAGGATAGGTCATCACGACATCATTAAATAACATTTTTTTTTTCCCAGAATAGAAGGAATTAAAAAAATATATATACAGTATCAATAGTCTATATATAAAAAAAGCAATAAGCAAATTGGCAAGTAAAAAATAATCATAAAGTCAACGAAGGAACTGCATGGTAACTAGAAGGCTGAAAAAATATGAAAAAAAGGCTAAGTGATCCAACAAACAACTCCAAAAGTGATTCTAGAGTAGCATATGAAAATTCATTTTTCTGTATAAATGATACTATTATATATTTATGGTCTTCCAAAAAAAAAGAAGGCTATCAGATTTGAAGGAACTTCATACTTGTACTAACACCTTAATGGCATGCACTATTTACCTGCTGAGATACTTTTTAATAACGTCTCACAATTAATTGCATAATAGCAATTAACATGGAAAAGTATATTTATAATATGCTTAAAATGTAAAAAGGAACATTCATGGGTTTTGTAATTGTTTTTTTTTTAGAAATATTAACATTTTCATCATGATCGTTATTCATTTTCTCATTTTCATGAGAAAAACTAAATTAAAATAACTGCATGTATCATTAGATCATCCAGCATGGTTCTACCTTACCATGGATTCACTATCAATATAGACATGCTTTGTAATATTCACTGTAAGCTTGGTTTTTAAAAATTAAGTTTAAGTAAGCTCTAGGTGAGTAAAGACTTCATTTTCTTCCTAGAGCAGGAAGGTAAGAATTTTACCTGAAATAAATTACATTTCTCGGGAAATAATTTGGGTTGCATATCTACATAAGAAGGGTTATTTACACAGGTTGTCACATTTTTCTCCCATTGTTGTGATTTTGCCTTAAATTCCTGAAAGACAGCAAAACAAGCCTAGTAAACATAGAGGAAATATCTACTTTCCTCAATTGAAAGAAATTTTGTAATGTGCATTGTTCTAAGAAATACCTAGTTTTTTAATTAATACATAATCTTTCCATAATTTTGGAAAGAAGTTAAAAAAAATAACAATTCTATAAACCAGCCATCCAGTCATCCCCACCAGAGAAAGACTAGTCTTAAAGGCTGTTGAACGGAGAACAATGTGTGTAAACATAGCAATTGAATAAAAATAATAAAATATTAGAGTTACTACTATGATACAAAAATTGTATTGGATAGTAGTTCCTGTGGCTTTAAAGCTGTATCAGTGTTGAGAAGGGTAATCAGTAGGGAATCAAACCCTTAATATTCAGACACAAAGTGCTCACTTTTTGCCTTTGTTTTTAATGGGACAGCAGCTTCATTGAATAAATTGTACTTCTTGCTCTCTTTAAAATTGCTGCTTCAGGTTCTCAGTTCCTCTAGTTTAAACAAAAAGCTGTTTAAGAAATTTAATTATATTATATTTATCTAATTTTGTTTTTGTATTTGCACTTACATTCATATTTATAGTGTATTTGAATTTGCTTTAAACTCATGCCAAACCTTATATGTTCACAAATATATTTTAAAGGCAGTATACTAAAAATAAGCAGAACTTCAGTTACTAGAGCTGTTGCTCTTTCAGTTTGAAAACTCAGCAAAATAACAGTACACTGATTTATATATTGAAAACTAATGGAAATGTTGTTCCAAAAAGACAGATGATATTTTATAATTAAGCTAAACTGGAATATTCCCCAAATTTAAAACAATAAGGTTTTTTTTTATTTTGCTGCTGAATAAAACCTGACTATTTCTCAACACAGATTAATAAAAATCTTCTTTCATAGCTTTCCTGACATCTGCTTTGGCATTTAAAACAACAAACATATCCCTATTTTATAAAACATGATAGAAACAGAGTTTCAGACTATTTAGTAAGGACTGCAAGTTCAAGGCCTTACTAAAGCACTGCTGAGCTTAGTAGATTTTCACCACAGTAATTATTTCCCGAATACTCAGATTTGCTGAATATATTCCAAGTACTCATTTTTCAAACTGCATAATTAATCAAATTACAGCATTGTCTTACATTATTTTCACATTTTAATCTTGAGTAAGGTTATTCTCAAATTAGCTGACAGTAGTGATATATCAATGAAAGATGTACAACCCATTTATTATTCTTGTAAGTAGCTGATGTTGGGAGCTATGCTGCAGTCCAAAGCATTGTAGCTTTTCTGATGGTGAGAACTTCCATGTGGAGGAGACAGCCAACATCATATAGAGTTGGAATGTGTCTATGCGGATACAGGAATCCGGAGGTCGCAGAAGTTAGTCCTATATCTTACAGAATGACATAAAAGGCAAGTCCAAAATACAGATCCTAAGACCCTGCGTAGTTTGGGTTGAAAGTAGGAAATTACTTAAAGTCTGCTAATGCTGAATTTCTTGATTGCAAAGTCCTCAAAGTGTCCAAATCATCTACATCATAAATCTACATCATAAACACCTAAGTCCTCCCAATGCTTAGAGCTGGGCAAGCAGCTCCCTTATCAACTGGTACCAATCTTCTTGCTTTGCCTACAGCACCCAGCCCAGTAAGCGTGTGGAGCACACACTTCTTGATTATGGTCTTCACAAAGGATCAACAGAGAAAACATGGATTTTGTGATCGTCCTATGCTTCATCAGATTACTGGTTAGACTGGTCTTCCCATAGGTGGAGGACTTGGTGTAAAAATCTTTCAAGACAGAATCTGAAGTGTAATCTTCCCATGTTAGTTTTCTATCTAACAGACAAATGTTATTTTTCAACAAGCTCTGACATTCTTCCTTTTCAAGTTGTTTCATTTATCTCAGGATATGAGAAAATTTATTGGCTAGGTAAAAAAGAAGCAGCAAAAATTAGCATATCCAGAGATGATATTGCTCAGTTATAAGAAATAATCCTGGATATCAGTTTCTGCCCCACTGAATGCAGCCAGAGGGATATTTGGAGAGAAAACACCACTCATGGGCACACTCTCTACAAGCTCTCTATCTTCCCTAACTTTCCTGTTGGTCCAATGAATAACTGATTATTCCGCAGATCATAAAGTAACCTCTGAGAAGTCAAGGCTGGGAATTATGAACAAAAATCAGCGTCTTCCTGTATTCAAGAATAAGTCCACTAATATCCAGCCTGTGTCCAAAGAGATAGGGAGTATGACTGATCCTGTCCTCAGCATCTATTATCTAGTCCCCCAGTCAATATGCTGGATTCTGCAGGATGTATTTTTAAGTGCCTAATCCTTCCTCATACATTGCCTAGGGAAATTAGGCACCGAGGTCAAGGTAGAGGATTGCTGCAGGCATATGGGTGCTGACAGGATATATGTGTAACAAGCAGTTTTCCAACCCTAAATCCTTTTTTCTATGTAGCCCAAAGCGGTCAAGGTTGTCCTGAGGTCTATAAAACTTGAATTAATGATAGGTATTATGTGACAGTATCCTGCATATGTAGAAGCTCTCACGCCTCAAGAGATTGTGTTATCCAGTACATGTCTATTCATCAGGAAAAAAGTAAAATTTATTTATAGATACATTTACAAAAATTTTGCTATTAAATAATATTAAAATGAAGAACTTTTCTTGCCAAAACAAGACAATTATATAATTTTTGTAGAACTATGAGCAAAATAAAGCTCACAATTTTAAATCAAAGATTAGTTCTAGAAGCATATTAAAATATAATGATAAATATTCTTACCTCAAGTTTCACGTATAAATTCCTTGGGTTAGATGATGTCTCCAGGTTTTCCTCACAATTTTCTCTACTTCGGAGCTTTTTTGGTTTTAACTGATGTGACTGTAGCTTTTCGTAACTATGTATCAACTTTGAGAACTAAAAACAAAAGTAGAGTTGAACATGCAGAATCTATCAAGGAGGACCATATGGCCACAGTTTTGTTTAAACTAGAATCACCAACTGCAGCTTTAGCATTCTAAATGTTTAATCAGTGTAACAACAAATCAATTAATAAAGTTAACATCAATTAATAAAGTTATCACACATGAACAAGACTAAGCTCTCATATAACTGTTAACTAACTGTTCAAGTGGGTTTATTTGGCAGCTACTTAATTCTGCTGCAGTTCTCCACTGGCATTGCTACCCGCAGAGTAATTTCCTCTACAGTGCTCATATGGATTGTTCTATACTTGTTTACTGCCATCTTGTGTTGACATTTTTAAAGGGTGCTTCACTAGCCAGAATGAAAGATTATCATTAATGTAGTCTAAACTTGCGTGTTTTCTTTCTTATGATGAAAATTGTTGAAATGTTTTGTGTGTGATGATTGGCACTCTCTGGTACCAGTGTGTGGGTCTCAGAATTAGACACTAACAGAACAGACACTGCCTACTGATGTCACCATGAAAGTCTTAGGAGTCAGAGTCACAGAAGAAAAGGTACCAGAAGGACCAGCCTCTTCAGAAAAAGAGCCATTTTTCACATCAGTTCACTACACTGCACAAAACAAAGGGTCTGTCTAGTGCCTGTTAACAGATTTGATACAAAAAAGTGATACTGTTTGGTAGGAATATGTACATTTGGTTTTGGAAAAAAGCAAACCCAAGGATATTAATAAAGGAAATACTAAAAATATGGTCTTGAGGAAAGTTTAATGGAAGAACTTCTGGAAGAATATTATGCAGAAAAGAAGCTTCCAATAAATACTGATCATGTGTCTTGTTGTTTAGTTCCTTTACATTTAAATATATATGACATAAAAAACAACTGACTCTCACATAAAGTTCTCTGTATATCCAAACAAAATCTATAGAATCTTACATATTTGTTAACAGCTCAAAGTGAACTACTGTTTGGAAATGGAATGGAATCCTGTTGAGTCAACACTGAATGAGCAATAGAGGTCTGTTCAGATAAATACACATAGCCAAAAGAAGTCCAGAAGAAACAAATTAAAAAATAATCTGGAAACTTTCTAGACACATTCAAGATGAACTTGAGAATCATAATGAGACAGCAAAGACTAATTGAAAAGATGACTAAAAGACAGATTGTCCTGGACTAGAAAGTTTCATGACATGAAGAGGCCCAGGCACAGATTTCACCAGCTTGGAATGTCTGAATAGCAATTGTGTAACATGGGCATAAAAGAGATGAGTTATCACCTTTAAACCCAAATCAAAAGCTTTGCAGTAAAGCTGCCTATATTTGAAATTGTCTTTGTCAGAGAACAAAGTTAAGATAAAATATTTAAAATGAGTCAGAGTATCCAGCTCAAACAACATGGAACTCAATGACCTTGGAAGAAAGATATCCTTTTTCAAATAAGAGTTTTGCTCTTGAATGTATTATGGCATATGTGATCTGCCTGGGAAGACTCAATGCAGGTAAGACAGGTATTGGAATGCTTATGCTAAAAAGGCTGGGAAATACATGATCCAACAATTTGGTAAATCAGTCTAAAATGGAACAGAGTGGCCAAAATGATATAATTTAGTTTGAATCTTAGATATTTAATGACAGTAGGATATTAAAAGCAAATTATTGTCTGAATGTTATGATGACTGGAAATGAGACTGAAGGACAAAAATCCTTCTATTTAAGCCCAGATATTTGCTTTAAAAGGTCCAAGTTGTTCTGTTCACATGTTTTGCATGTTAAAAAAAAAAAAGAGGCATTTTAGTGAGTTCTGGGGTAGAATCCATTTTAGTTTAGATTTCTGAAAGCCTGAGATACTCTGCATCAGAAAAATCTGCCTGTAAATGCTTAGTCATTTCAGCTATCTTAAATTCTTGTCATACACTGAGATGAATTGTATTCTGGGGGTGTCCATTTCTTTCTGTTGATTCTAAAGGGAGCCTGGGATAGCTCAGAAGTAGCTTTTATGTGTCAAAGTGAGGAAATTAGTTGCAAAGTTCTTAGAGCAAGAAAGGGTCCTTGTTCTTTTGCTAAGAGGTTTCCATCACTTTCAAAGTGAGAATAACTACTAGACATTAAAATAAAAAAAATAAAGGATCAAAGTAATGCAGATGAACCTCAGAAGTTTTTGCTATTTAGTTATGACAAAATGCTGCATGTTTGAACGAACTCAACAGTGTGGCCTAAGAGTTTCAAGTTACATACTAGGAATTATTTCCCTAATACAAGAAAAATACAGGTTTTACTGCATTCAACAGGCACACAATCAATTCAGATGGAATACGGCTCATCAAACAGAAAAGAAATTCATTCTGAATAGTGTAGCATTCTGATAGCTAGAAAAAGTGATCCTTACTATTTCTATCAAGATTAGGAAGGAAGAAATCTTGGTTGGGATTTTAAGAATACCTATGTAGAAAAAGATACAATGCTATTGGTCACACAATTTGTGCAAAACTAAATTAGCTCATAAGATTCTACAGTTTAGAAGGTGGTATAACTTCCAAGTGAGAATAATAACCAAAAGAAGGGGATCAAAGGAAACAAGGCAAAGATTAATATTGTCACAGAAGGTCTATATTTTAGATATGAGTTTGTGTAGCTCAGAATTGGGGACATTAAAGCCATTCGATTGCAGACAATGCAGCACTCTTATTCAGGAAAGAAACTCAGTAAGGAGATGTGACAAAAGCTGGAGGAGCAGAGTGGGACAGTCCTATTGTCTAGCATGGGTGCTAGGAATTGTTCTGACAGGCAGATTTCTCTTTATCACATGGAGAATCAAGGCAGGCCCCTTAACACAGACTTTTAACAGTTTTCTATTTCAGTCAAGGTGAATGAGGTGGGTATTTCATGAAGAAATATGGTTTGGTCAAAGGAGAGGAATGGGGACTGGAAAATAAAATGCAAATAGCATCAGTGCTGGAAGCTTTAGAAAAAGGAATAGGATGACTGAGAGAATGAAATGCTTGGAGACATGTATTGGGAAAGTGACACATATTCTTAACAGCTAGAAATCCAAAGTTCTATCAAGTTTATCTTGCATAAAAATAGAAGAAGAAGCAATCAAGAAACCCAAATAAAGGTTAAGTAGTTGAGCAGTAACTAAAAAGAAGAATTTGGGGAAGAAATATAACCAGGTTTAAAGAAAAAGCTTGTTGGTTAGAAAATTTCAGGTTCTTTAAAAAAAATAAAAGAGAAAACAGGTTGTATTTGCCCATGGAAAGGACTTGTAGGGCAATTAAACTCGCCAAAATAAAAATCTTTATGAAAAATTGCCTGGACTCTCAATTTCAGAAGGTTCAATTTCAGTGAAGATACTAGCAACAACACGCAACATAAACCCAAGCATTTTTAGCATGGGATAAAAACAATAATTAAGAAATGAAAAATATTGCAGCAAATGTTATAAAGAAAAGAGAGCTTTACTATATTTTTGAGAATAGTTCTGCACTGCTAAAAGACACCTTAATACTTCTGCATAAAATGTCACACTCCTTTTCATTGTGTGATGTTTATCTTCTCAACAATCACGCTAAGATGCTGCTTTTCTGTAATTTGTGTAAGTTATAAACCAGCTTTTATTTCTAGCTACTTTCTCAAATTATTAGAAGTGTTAATTACAAAACATTCAAAACATTCACCGCCTACTTACAGAATTGTTTTCCAAATCAGTTTTCAATTGTAAAAGAAAAGATAAATTAAAGACAACATAACCTTAAAAATAAGTAATACATTTATTCATTTCATGGACTCAGGTGTACTATCACTTCTAAATGAAAATAATGATATCCAATTTATGTGATCTGACATCATTATACAAGTGTGCTGACTGAACATTCTGAATTACAACACTATGTCTCTGGTAGAAGAATCCAGTGAAGGAAACAAAAAACTAGCAGGAAAAACAATGCAGAGTTGTTAAAAGCTGAGAAACAGAATCAACTCAAGTTTGCTACAAATTTATATTCATGACTGAAGTAGAAAATATTGAAAAAAAAAAAAGACAGGTGCAGAGCAAACATAGCCAAACTGCATCATAATACCATAGAATGGTTTGGATTGAAAGGGACCTTTAAAAGATCCTCTAATCCAATCCCTCTGTCATAAACGGGGACACTTTGCATTAGACCAGCTTGCTCTGAGCCCCATCTAAGTCTGGCCCTGAACACTTCCAGGAATGGGGCATCCACAACTTCTATGGGCAACCTGTTCCAATGTCTTATCATCCTCAGTAAAAAAAATAATAAACTGTTCCTCAGGTACAATCTAAATCTGCACTCATTCAGTTTAAAACCCTTGTCCTTTCTCTCAGTCTGTCTTCACCAGAGAGATGGTCCAGACCCCTCTGATCTTCTTCATGGCCTCCTCTTGACTCACTCCAACAGGTCCAAATTTTTTCTTGTACTGAGGACCCCAGAGCTGGACACAGCACTGCAGGTGGGGCCTCACCAGAACAGAAAAGGGGGAGAACAACCTCCCTCAATCTTGTTGGACACATTTCTTTTTATGCAGCCCACATTTCTTTTTATTGTGGTCTACATGAACACTCAGAAATAAATAAAGTCAGAACAAACTCACAGCATCATTAATGTGGGTTACTCCAGTTTTGATACAAAGGAAATCTATACCTTATGGAAAGCTATCAGGCCACTTTAGCGGTAAATCAAGGAAACTAAAACCAGAAAAAGATATAGCAAAGACATGACAAGCACAGTATAAATCTTAAAATCCCTAATGTGCATCAGACTCATATTAGCATGAATCCAATTACCTATTTTATTCATTCACCAAGGCTTTAGTTTATTAGTCTGGAGTTAGGAAAACAAGTCTCTTTCTTCATAACAGATGTCATATCCACATCAAAATCCATCCAAAGAGTTTCGACACAACAGTACATAAATTATAACAGAGCCTAGTAGGCAGCTGTAGTCATCATCATTTGTATGACATGATTGATCTTTCCCAAATCCACAATGGCACATCTATACAATTTGGCATGTGTAAGTTTTTTATACTGCAATCACAAAATAATGAAACTGACATTTTTCTTACTTGAGATTTCAGTGCTTGAAGCTGAGTTTCATAACTCTGAGCCATTTCATTTTTAGTTTTCTGTAAGTTTTCCAATTCTTGTTGAAGTAGTCCCACCTAAAGTTAAAATAAGCATTCAAAAGTACCTCTTCTGACATTTTTCAAAATATGTAATTTTTGGGAAAGTAATTTGAAACTCTGAAAGAAGATCACTGCTTTAAGAAGAGATATTAAAAATAAGTATTAAATCAGTAGCTTGACAATAGAAGTGCATACCACACACCTAGATTGTGTCAACATCAAATTAGGGATTTTATTGTAAAAAATCTCATTACACGCTGATTTAGTGATAATATTGTACAAGTCTGTCACAAAAAACCATTCTCAAAAGCTTTTTAAACCAAACTATGCTGTTGCCCATTGTGAAATTTTCCTTTGCATGGCTTATAAAATGATAGAAATTACCTTCCCATATTTATGTACAAATTACCAGGAGACACTGTGAACTCCCTAAGTGCAGTGCCATTTGTGATACCATGAATTATTACTGAGGTTTACAGAGACCTGAGAAATATGACAGAGAGCATATATGGCACCTGTGCTTTCCAGGAGGGGCAGCTGGAATCTTGGTAGAATATGCTGAAGTATTCCAGATAATGTCTCTGTACAGCAAATAAATTGATGCTTTCAGGATGGGCTACTTGAATTCTTCTCTTGGTTCCTCTGACTGCAGGGACTAAGGGCGAGTTCCTAATTGCTCATTAGGGAGAGTCACTCAATTTTCAAAACTCCCACAGGCAATTTAGCCACCGAGCTCACACGAGGATGCCCTCGTGTAAACACTTAAAATTCAGCAGGCTTGAACTAGAACTGAATGCTATGCAAGGATTTCTTGATGCTTCTGAATAATTATTCAGAAGAAAAGACTGTGAAATACAGCCAACATCAGGTACACTGGGGCTTTAAGTTTCACAAGAAAGTCAAAGTAGTTATACATTTCAAGTCATCACAATGAGTAAAATTATCATAAAAAGACAGTATAAAATGTAAAATGCTAAAAATCAGGAGTAAAAAGGAGTAGCAAAGACATAATTTTGGGAACCTTTTTGAACTGCATTCTTCCATTTAAAACTCCTGATGAAATGAGAAGTTCTGGCATTTAGAAAAAACATTGAACTATCTTTTTACAGCTAACCTGAGAATATTTGATGTAGACTTTAGGGAAATAGAAGAAATATGAGATTTTCAATGACATTTTTACAATCACTTTTCAGAACAGAAGCACACTTTAAAACAAAACACTAAGGATAATTAGTGACCTTTAAGAGGTGTTTGGTATTTTTACATGATAGAACAAACGGTCTTATGGAGAATTTAAAGCATACTAATAAGAAACTACCAGAATAAATACTTTCTTTATAGAATGTGATATTCCTAAATACCTCTTGACCTTTTTGATCCAGTTTGCTTTGGGCACTTGCTAATTCTTGATCCTGGATATCCATCTTTGCTTCCAAAACTCTCATCTTTCTTTCCCATTCTACTTGCTTTCTGTTTACCATGATGTCAATTTGATGCACTAATTCCTGAAGTTCAGCTTCACATGGAGAAGCTCTAAAAACATAAAAAGATTTTTTTCACATAAAAAATAAGGGAGAAAACAGATTTTTATTTGCATTGCTTCAATTCTGTTTTAATTGTGACCAAACTAACCACTTTTCAACAACAGAAAGAAAGAAATGGGAAAGTTAAATGATGCCTTCAAATGTAGGTGGAATCTCACTTCATCAATCTTGAATTTGCCTGCATGCTCAACTTTTGACTGTACTAAATTGAAAAAGCAGCTCTTTAATGTGGATATGGATTTATCACAAATATTTTCTTTGATGCTTAAATTATACACATCCCTTGTTCTGATAATTATTACAGGAAATTTAAGAGAATTTCTTAGATTTATAACATCGTTATTAAAACGTAGCATGATTTTTTGAAGTTAAATTCTTTAAAACTTATTTTACATCCACAAATCCTGAAACTGTAATGGTATCAGTGCTAAGCTTGTAAGGGCTTTTTAAATGCATATAAATCTTAATGACTTTTTAATGTTAAAACTGTTGGTAATGATGTTTTGAAAGTTAATATGAATCATAGGATGACAATAAGCAAAGTGCAAACAAGTGATGTATATCACTCAAAACAAAAATACCCCTCTCAAAAATAGCATTAATGATGGGTAAACTTTGAGTGACTCTGGGTGGAATATAAAATGGGATTTTGAAAACAGAAGATAAAGCGATACTACTTTATCACATCTACCCGCTACATCAGGGCTACCTTTTCCTTGATACTGCTGTAAAGACCTGTGCACTTCCAGCCTCCTCTAATGTCACACTGTAACACTTTAGTGAACCACCTGCAATGACTCAGCTACCTGATTTTAGCCTTCAGAAACATGTACTTGCTTTTTTGTGTGTCACATGGATAATCTAAATACTGTTATGCAAGTAAGAATGCAACTTCTAGCCTAGATCATCAGATTACCCTTTCAGATCCACCATGGCTGACGTTCTTCACTCTTAAATTTCACCTGCCTCTCTCAGATCTTTCTGCACATGGCAAATTCTACAGTTTTGCTAAAAGAATTTTCTCTTAGCAGTTCTTGCATGCTTCTTGAACCTTGAGCCATCATTATATAAAAGGAAGCTGTTGAAAGAAAAATCGCTTCTGAAAGAGCTTCTCAGTCTACCTTCACTTTCTCTAATTCCTTACCTGGATCCTCTAAGCACATTTGTAGCTGCAAAAAGAAATCTGTATGTCAAGCTGCAGATTACCGCTGCTGCTGTTCTACTACCAAAACTATTCTGTATGAAGGCTCTGGCATTGAAGACAGATCTGCAGTCATCCCCACCTGCTAGCAGAGAGGTGCTACTTGTTATAGTAACTATTGCTTTAGTCCACCAGTGTTTTAGAAAAAGTGCCAATTAGCCCCCTCAGAATATGGCAAATTATATGGCACCACAGTCATGAGAGTTTATTTTGATCACTGGAAGTGGAATGCAATGGCTTCTTTTGTTTAGTAAGGCATATGTAAGCAAACACACAAAGAACAAATTTTCTCATAAGCAAAGAAGCATGCATGGATTTTTTTACCCACGTAGATTCAGCATTCCCAGTTTGCTGAATGCATACATCAAATGGAGAAGTTATGCAGGGAAGTAATGACTTGTACTTCAGCAAGTGGCAGCTACTTTTTTTTTTTTGTTCATTTACTTTGAAACAGCTCAAAACACTTAAAGTTATCTCATTTTAAAGTGGTGTAGGCAAGCTCTTAGTCTTCTTTTATTCTGCAAATGATTTTCACTCCATATAAGTGAAAATAGAGATGAGTCATATTCTACTGTCCTTGATAACTATTTATCTTCATGTAAAACCAAATGTTTCCAAATTTAGGCAAAAATCCAGATAAAAAGTTTTACCACCTCCAGGCCTTTATCACAAATGATTTTTGCACTAGTTAGACCTTTCTAGCTCTATTTAGCCATATTTTGCTTTGGAGTTCTGCACAGGTCTGCATTTTTCTGATTGTTTCCTAACAGACAGAAAAATGAATGGTAGAAAGAATGGTATTGTCCATACACTCTAGAATAAAGTTGTTATTTAAAAACAGATGATTTAAGAAATCTAAGGTTCATACCGTCTTTCTTGAATTTATACTTTCTTCCCTTATTATTTACATTTCCTCACAAATAGGAAAATAAGTATGGCCATATTTATACAAACAAAAGTAAAACTTATTCAATCTTACACAGTATATTCATTAGGTTGGATATTTACCACAGCTTCTACAGTAAATTCATTTAATTATTGCAAACCTTGCTCTAAAAATAGGAAATATACAAACCAGTTGTGATAGACTCTTCTACCCCAAAGTTCTATTCTAAGAACTACAACCAAATTTAACAGCTTTCAGCTACACTGAATCATTCATACCTATGCATAGATAATTTGTGATTTTTGCATCTTTGAAGCTGGAATGTGATTGTCATGATTTTCACCACCATTACTCAGCCATTTTACCAAGTTTTAAAGGCACTGCATTTTCCCTGGAATACTGTCAGCATAGACTGAAATTGTTTTCTTTCAGTGAAGGTACATCCTAAACTCCTCTTCCAGATTCTTTGTATAGTTAATGGAAATACCTAGCTAGCAAGAAGTACGGTTTATGATGGGACAAATTCTTCCAGATGCATCTGCAAATAGCCTGAAATTTCATAAATTGATTAAAATAAAGGTAAGGCAGAATCCTGATTTTTTGAAATAGATTTCTGACTTGTAGCCAAAGAACAGCAATACCTTTGGGGTTTTCTAATTCAAGTTTTTATATGGCTACTTTTACAAATCATATAACTATGATATGAAAAAAGAATTCCCTCAAAGCAAAAAAAAAAAAAAAAAATTAAAATGAAGGGGGAAGGGGGCACCACACTGATCAGAATATTTTACTGCAGTAATAATTTTTATCTACCATGAAAAGTGCATGCATTATTCTTCAGTATGACATACCACACTTTAAAATCCCATTAAAAACTTTCTTGGGCCAGAATAAGGTATGATAGATTATGCCTCTTTTATTTTAAGAAATACTTTTACACTTAATATGCATCATATGACATTGTGTTGTTTCTTGGTAATAATGGCAAAATAAACTGATTTATTTGAGAAGTAGTTAGTAAGTTTACTTACAAAATTATGATGGACAAATATTCTGGTTTAAGTCATTAAGTGGGGAAGTTCTTATATTTGTGTGTTCCTTGAAGATGCTGAATGGGATGAGGTCCTACATAAAATCTTACTTATGTTCTCAATTCTTTAGAAAGACTTTGTGCTAACGTATTTTTTAGATTAACTAAATACTAATATATTTTTTAGATTAACATTAAAAGAACTAAACTTGGATTATGTTAAAAAAAAAAAAGATTATGTGTTCTTATAAAAAGTGCACTTAGTACTTGGGGAGAGCACTTTTAGTTATTATCTGTGCAAAATAAGGCTAGGGTTTTAGCGATTATTCTTGTTTTCAAGATTCTTAATGTTTTAAGAACTGTGATATATAAGTCTATATTTCTGTAGCCTAGCAACTTCAAGTACTTTATAAAAAATGCTTGAAATTATATTTCTTAACATCTTAATAAAACCCTACATAGCTTTCATTCTCTCCTCCACCTCTGGTTCAGGTATGAATATTTAAAACATTAAAATAACTAACAGAAACAGTGAATAGAGTACTAGCCAAAGCACTAAGATATTTTGTCTTAATTATCAGCAACTTGTCCAGTTTGCATGGAAAAGAAAAGAAATATAGAATCAAGTTTTCTTCCAAAATCATTAATATTTTGTGTTTCACATTTTTAATAAGCATACATAATTCAAATCCATCACATATTCAACTCCCAAGAGAGTAAGTCACCACGTACTTAGTCACAGCTTGTTCCTGGAACACTTCTAAGTCCTCCTCCATAATAATGGTTGTCGTTTAAACCTGTTAAAACACCAAAAATCAAATAATTCTGATTCTTAAATGCATTCATTTACATAGCCAAGTAGTGCAAACTGGATAGTTCTATGCTTTTCTTTCATATTATGCAATTTTCTCATTAAAAACAACAAGGACAGGGGAGTGCAGCTCTAATTACAGGCTGGAATGGGCAAGACAAAAACTTCGGGAGCAAGCTCAGCTCTCTGACAAATTCGAGAATCGCTTGGTGCAGCACTGAGATACCAGAGGTGGTGCTGAGCTTGAACCTAGCCCTGGGTCTCCATACAGAAATTTGTTTTGGATCGTTCGCTGTTGTGTGATGTCAATGATTTGAGAAGACACTCTGAAGCTAGTGAATCTTAATTTCCCATAGACCCATGGCAGCGCTCATCAAACATTTGTGCCTTTGCTCACCGTGACTAACCTCCACCCCGGCCATAACTGCTCTCGAACACCATTTCGGATTCCTACTGACTGGTCACTCCCCCGCCTGGCAGATGCAGTCCGAGACACGCAGCCCTCAGAGACCTCGGCGGGACGATCAGAACAATGCTACTGCGGAGACCAGCCCGGTCCTGCGGCTCCAGCAGGGCACAAGGATGTGGGGCATGCCAGCCTGCACGCAACAATGTTATCGGTGACGGGGGAGCCTGAAACAGCACTAATTCCGAATTCCTGGTGGGGGAGAGCAGTGGGCTCTCACGGGCACGGGTACCAGTGCCCACAGGCGTGTGGGCAATGACACAGGCCGCCCCCTCCCCCCCCCGTTACCTGCCGTGCTCCCACTCCGCTCCTGCCGGCCCCGCTGCCGCTGTGCCCGCGGTACGAGCCCCGCAGCCCGGCCCGGCAAGCGCCCCGGCCCGCCGCGGCGCCCGCCCGTCGCCGCGGTAACGGGAGGGCGGCGGGCGAGGCGGGAAGGCGGCCGGGAGCGGGGCAGGGCAGGGCCGGGAGTGGGGCAGGGCAGGGCCGGGAGTGGGGCAGGGCAGGGCCGGGAGTGGGGCAGGGCCGGGTACCTGCCCCGAGGGGCGCCGGGGGAGCGGCCCGCACATCCCGCGGTCGCTCCCTGCGCCCCTCCTTCGGCGCGAAGGAAGCCGGAGTGAATTTCACCACGGGAAAATTTCCCCCCGGGTAAAGAAGGTGTACTTTTCCTTTAACATAATGTAAGAAATCACTAGGCAAGGTGTTTTCTTCTTATTTTTTTTTTTCTCCTCTTCCCCTTAAAACTGTTATTACTAGATGATGAAAAGGCTGAACATTACCCTTTCCTCCCTGAATGACTACCTATGCTTTTGTAAAAGAGCATCCAACGATTTTCAGATTATTTTGCTAACGACCTTGACCTGATGCCTTTCCATTCTTGTGGCCTTCCATCTGTCTTACTGAACAACATAATGCTTTCAGGAATCACAGCTATTTCAGCTTTTTACAGTCATAATTTGAGGGAGTTTACATTTCTTCAAACACCAGTGAGTTTGTCTACCAGGAAGGTACCATTCACTTGGTATGTGTTTTCCTGAAATTTTCACGGAGCACTTTCAGGACCTGCTAGTCTATTTCTGTGCACTACATGTCCAGTTTTGGCTTTGTTTTTCTTGATCTGTTTACTGAAATTAGCTAAGTGAACAGCAGTTTTAGTACCAGTTCTAAGGTATAATCTATTTCATTGGGTTCCTACATACTGTACTGTGGCAGATGGTTTTCGTGTCGGCAGAAACACTGTTTCAGGTTGTGAAAAATGATTTTTTTTTTTTTTTTTTTTTTTTTTTTTTTTTTAATAAGAGACTGAAACTATATTCAGAGTTTCAGGAAAGTCAGAGAATGATGGAATTATCAGGACTGGAATGGGCCTCTGGAGGTAATCTCTCTGGAGATTATTTTGTCCAACGCCCTGGCCAAGGCAGGATCACCTAGGTTAATTCTAGAAAATTAGAGTTTTCCCTTGTAGCCAGGCCCACCAGGATGACAGGAGAAAGCTGTGGGACCAGTTGCTGCACTCTGAGCCCTGAAAATGTTTTCTTCATTACACTTTTAATACTTCATTACACTTTTCTTCATTATTTACTTACTGTAATTGAGTTAATGTTTCAAATACAATTTCTTATAATTTAAATAGTTTTGAGATTTTTTTCAATAGTGAAATTTGGGTTTATTTATTTTAAATACTGAACTTTGAGATGATTTCAAGTATTATATACTAGAAGTAATTTCTAATGCAACTGCCAGCAAATTTCCATTTTTTCATTTGCTCAATTGAAATGAACTTTTCAGCCATATTCCCAGAGTATATATTTTAATTTCCTCCCTGTCTTACCCTATCTCAGTGGTAATCAGTTATTCAGAAATTTAACTTCATCTGTCATGCCTAAATGGAACTGGGAGGGGGGCAACTTAGAAAAATACAGAAAAATAATGTTTAAATTAGTTATCTACATTTTCAAAGCTTTTTAGAAGGACAATTCCACTGCCACTAGCTGTAGTTGTGTTTCTAACTCTCTTATGTATATCCAAATGCCTCTCCCGCTATATTAAAAAAATCCCATATCAAATTTCTGACCTTTTTTATTTGCTTATGCTCATCCACATCATCTCCTGACTAGAGCTTGTCTTATGAGACTCAAAACTGTTATTTGTTGACTTTAAAGAACATGCCTTACAAATTGTGACAGCCAGCCAACCGGCAAAAAAAAAAAAAGCTAATTTTAAATCAGCTTTTAGATTAAAATTCATGGAAAGCTATAAGCGCATTTCTTTAGGAAAAAAAAAAAAGGAAAGTAGACTAGGGCAGTTACACAATGGAGTGTGAACAAATGGCAAACAAGACAAAGTACAACACTGATCTATTCACAAAAACGAGGGGAACTAGGCATTACCTAGGAAGCTGCCTTGCAGAGGGATCTCAGATTGGAGCATTGGGCAATGATTAATGGGATGGAATTTAGCACGTCAAAATATTGGATTCTGTACCTAGCAGGTGAGAGTTTCTAATAACAAAGCAATAATACACAATTCAATATAGAATATTTTCAGAGCAGAATAAAAGTGGTGGTGTTAAAGAAGTAGCATAATTTAGACATAATTTCAGTGATAAATGATTATATACCTACTAGTTATCCTTCCTAGGTATTTGTCACATGAATTCTTCAATATGTGTTGGGTTTGTAGTACAATATGTAATAGCAGGTAAAATCTAAGTGCATTTGTGTATTTAAATACAGATTGTATTTACAGGATATATTCACAACTTTGCAATCTTAGATGACAGATTTGATTGAACATTTTGTTCCAGTAAGCTCAGTATAATTTTAATAAGAAACAGACTCATTTCTTTAGCATAGAAACCACATTACTTTAGTGATATTTATGTCATGGATTCATAGCAGCTCTATAAAAGTTTATTAATTGCATTCTGTATGTTAGTTTGAATACATATGAACACCCCAGCTTAATTTATAGAAAAGGAAAGGAATAGCTGAGTATAAGCCATCCATCAACAACTATGCAGGAGTCACTGAGAGACAATAAAATCTATGAAAAAGATCCTTAAGATGTAAGCAATAACAGAAGAATGACATTTTAAAAAGAACCTTTGCAAGAGGGATTTCTGCTTGTGAAAATGAGACAGGCATAAAATGTGCCTGAAGATTCTAAAAGTGCCTAACTAATTTACTGGCAGGAGCTGATAAATCCTGGCACAATACAGACAAAGATGAAGAGTACTGTTTCTAAGTATTTTGTTTCTTGTTTAAACTGAAAATTACTCTTTTCTTAAGCTGCTTATGAAATCACTGAAGGAAAGGACAGAGTTTGGATTTAGTAGGATTTGCCAGGTAAACCAATTGATATGTCACACTCTAGGCTGAAACGTTGGAGTGGAGAATTTTAAGAATTTATCCTGTAAGAGGAAACCTGAAAATTAAGGGTAGTGCTCTAGGAGAATGCAGACAGGATATAAAGGTGCCATCACACCTGTTTTTGTGACTCTTACAAATTAGTATTTCTCTGTCAGTCTCTCAGGATGAGAAAAAAATAATGGTAGAATTGTGTAGGCTGGTAAAACCCTTTAAGATCATGGAGTCCAACATCTAACCCAGCACTGCCAAGTCCACCACTAAACCATGGCCCCAAGCACCACATCTGCACATCTCTTACATACCTCCAGGGATGGTGACCTCACCACTTCCCTGGGCAGCTTGTTCCAGTGCTTGACAAGCCTTTCAGTGGGGAAATTTTTCCTAATGTAGGATGTAAACTCACCTGGTGCAACTTGGAGGCCATTTCCTCCTGTCCTATCCCTTGTTATTTGGGCGAAGAGACTGAGCCTACCTGGCTACACCCTCCTTTCTGGTGGCTGTAGAGAGAGCAATAAAGTCCCGCCTGAGCCTCCTTTTCTCCAGGCTAAACACCCCCAGCTCCCTCAGCTGCTCCTCACAAGAATTGTGCTCCAGAGCCTTCCCCAGCTCTGTTGTCCTTCTCTGGACACGCTCCAGCCCCTCAATGTCCTTCTTGTAGTGAGGGGCCCAGAACTGATCACAGGATTCAAAGTGTGACCTCACCAGTACAGGGGGACAGTCACTGCCCTGGTTCTGGTGCCCACACTATTCCTGATAAAGGCCAGGATGCCATTGGCCTTCTTGGCCACCTGGGCACTCTGCTGGATCATGTTCAGCCATTCATTGACCATCACCCCCAGATCCTTTTCCACTGGACAGCTTCCCAGACATTCTGAACCAAGCCTGGAGCATTCCATGAGGTTGTTTTGACCTAAGATCTTTGTTGAATTTTATCTGTATAGTGCTAGATATTTTCCACACAAAAGAACAATCGCTTGTTTAAAGCTTGCTGCTAATATTTTTCTGGAAAGTCATAATAGTGTTTAGCATTACTGCAAAATCTTTCAGTATGGCATAGTCTTTCCTTTGTAGTTATTCCTACTGAAACATAAAAATATAAAAATATTTTATGGTTTGGCAGCATATGGATGGTTTCTAGCTCTACATACAAAAATACTTCTTGGTTAACTTGTTTTTACTTATCAAATGTTGTCTGTGATCTTGTCTGCAGTTAAAAAGACTGTTAAACTTGAGACTTGTACATTTCATCTGTGGCTTTATATCCTGCCACAGTTGCCTCAGTTTCTATATTGTATCATAGTGACGTAAGAATTTATTAAAAATTATTCTGGTCAAGATAGGCAAGGTATAGAAAAAAACCCACTCTAAATGCATACATTTGACTTTGTACTGTCTGAGGGGATTACAGGAAACAAACTGGTTTGTTTTCATCCTGAATGTAAATTATTTTATGATAGTTTGACAGTTTTAGTTTTCAATGGCACAAATGTGCTAACAATTGTACTAGTTGCTTTTGGTCATATTTAAATTTAATTATGGAAGAGTAGATAATTGGAAGTTTTTTAATGTTGCACAGATTTAAGTTTTTATTTTTTAAATCAAGCACATTAAGTGAATATTCTGTTGAAATACCTTGTAGAGAAATAATTAACAGTGCTGACATTTAGGTTGTCATTTGGGGTTTCAGAGATAGCAATTGAGTAGATGTCATGAGAGTTCACATTGTTCACTTGCATAAGAATGTATTCATGTAGAATACAGTGCTATATTGGTTATATTAAGATGATATTTTCAAGTTGTACTTGGGTGATCAAGTGCTCTGCCTTAACTAATTTTATTTTTTTTATCTTCAGAGCTCCTGTTTAGTTTTCTAATTAACTGAATGCCATTATTTTCAGAATTAGTATTGGAGTACAGTGGTAGATCAATTAAAAAGTATTGCTGTGTTACCTTCTATAGAAGTGCATTATGAGGCCTGAGCTTTTTGGCTTGCCCGGAAAA